GCATCCATGCAGGCAACCCCCACAAAAGCCTCACACCCTTATTCTCACCGCCTAGACATTGGTGCAATACACAGAGAAACTGAGGTACACAAAGCATTCATGCAAAACAGTAAGGCTCACATACAACATAACAAGGGAAAATCCCCACTTCATCACACAGGCTCTGCCATAGGTCTGCAGTTGTGGGAGGGAGGCCATTTTATTTAAGGTGGCATTTGTTGCTGCCTCTTTGGCGTGAGTGAGTAAGCTGGTGCTGATGGCATCTGTGGACAGGTCCCAGCATGCGTGAAGTGTAACAGATGTGCGACTATCTGCAGGAGCGGTGACCCTGCTCTTAAGGTACTGGAAAACAGACCAGAAGGGAAAGCGGGCTTATGTGGTGTTAAAGGAATGTGCAGATGGGCCCTGTACAGACAGAATCTGGGGCCTGCAACCAGGACTGCTGTTCATACATGGTGATGGCAGTTGCCTGACAAGATACCAGTTTGGCACAGTACTGAGAAAACCTTGCACTACTGCTGTCTTGACTACTCCCCATCCCCCCCTCCCCAATTTGGTACTTGTTCTTTGAGGATCTGGACAGTAACATTAGTGGCTACAGGGTGTTTTGGCCCACATCAGGTGCAGGCAATAGGGAGCTCGAAATCAAGGTATTACAGGACTTATGTCTGCTCCTTGGAAAATATGGCCGGGAATAGCAAAATGTAACTAAACCAATGTGCTTGTTTGTTTCAGAAGCTACACTGAGTATATGCGGTGTCTTGATTTGCAGGCAATCTGTAGTTCATTGGGCCCACAAGAGAGCAGCCAGAACGGCAGCTGGGCCGAAGCAGTTCGCCTCCAATAGTTTGGCAGAAGAGGCATACATTGGGATCAGCTCATGCCACTTCTGCACTCACTGACGAGCAATGTGCACACATCTCACATCCTGGTTATTCACCTCGGTGAGAATGATCTTGGCACCAGTATAGGACTTAACTCAAGGGACAGAATCCAGAGGGACCTTAGCTTAATTGAGCAATCATGGCTGGAGGTGAGGTGAGCAATGCTTGCAAGGCAGGTCTGGTGGGGAGCTGCAGACCCAGCCTGCATTGACAGGACTAGAAACAACGTGACTTGAGAGGGTCACCAAGGTATTCCTTGACATGGGGGGAGGGGTGGTCAGCGATACAGCATAGCAACATCTGTTACCACTGACTGGTAGTTTTCACAGATGACGGTGTACATTTATTTGTCAGGTGGAAGTGTTGACATATGGCTACAGGATGTAAGGGAATGGACAGGGCAGGAATTATGATACCGGGCAATGTGGTTGGGTCAGGGGGAGTGACCAAGCTAGTCACTGGCACCCGCTGTGGCTAGTTTCCAGTGTGGTTAAGAGAATGAAATGAATGGTTCCCAGAGGTAAAAGACCTGGGATTTTGTTGAATGGCCTTGGACACGTGGTAGGATGAGACCTTTGGGCTTCGCAGGCTGAGGTCAGATTTTTGTGGCCATCGTGGGCCGAAGTCCCCACCCTGCTGCAACCTCTGTTCTTCTTGGGGCGGGGGGTGCTAGGACTCAGTGCTGATTTCTGGGGGGGAAGGCTGAGTAGAGCCTACCCCAGGTTATGGGTTATATGATGATGAGCCCTATAAACCCTAGTACCAGTTACGGCTTATATAAGGAGCGCTACAACCCTCAAACTGGAACCAGTTAAATGCCTGGTATGGGAGAATAGGGGTGATGGATGGGTAGCATCCCTCCCTTGTGTTAAAGTTTAATAAGAGTTGCGATCTGCCACTTAATTCCATGCATGTGTCTGTGCTTATTTTGCTGCTGTGTCAACATTGACTACCTTTGTGAGATGCAGTGGACATACCTAGCCCAGCAGTTTCAAGCCTCCTAGACTGATGGATTTATAAGACAGTGTATAGGTGGGGATAAAATTGCCCTATTCTTACAGTGCTTAGAAAACAAATCTCTGGTCGTGCTTATTAGCAGCAGAATATCAGCATGTTCAGTGTCATAAACCTCAGAATGGGTGTAGAAATGGGAACGAAGAGGCCAAATAAGAGGGACAGTTTGTAAACATGTTGTTTTATTTTACCAGTTTGCATCATTTTCTCTCCAATCAATATCTGCTAGAGTAATCTGTTATCAAAGCATTTATGGTTGGGGAGTGTCATGAAGCGATGACTCACCAGTTCAGCACCTCCTGCTGGTCATCCTGGGAATTAGCTTTTTCCAGCTCCGGAGCACCCTCTGCTGGTCAGTGTCTCGCTTGCCTCAGGCCCCGTGTCCCTCCCAGATCCTGGTGCCCCTTTACCTCAGGGTTCTGCCTCCAGCAGTACCCCCTTACTCTGGGTCTCCCCTACCAGGGGAACCCCCAACCCCGTACCCCCACCTTGCCTCAGTGGCTACTGCCAGTTGTCATCTCACCCCTTCTCACTGGGGCAGACTGTAGTCTATAAATCACTCATCATCGGCAAGGGGGTTGGACCAGCTGCTTTTGCCTAACCCCAGGCTACACCTCTGTAGCCTCAGTACCTGCTTTGGGCCTTATCCAAGCCTCAGCCTGGGGAGTTGCCAGGCTGGAGCTCCCCAGCTCCTCTTGCCTTTCCGCAGCGCTGCTCTACCTCAGGTACCCAGCTCAGCTCCCAGGCAGCCAGGTGCTTCTCTCACCAGAGCTAGAGAGAGACTGACTTAGCTCCTGGCTTGCAGCCCTTTTATAGGGCCAGCTGTGGCCTGTTTGGGGCAAGGCCCTAGCTGCGGCTGCTTCCCCAGTCAGCCTAGCCTTTTCTCTCCCAGAGCGAGGTAGCTGCCCCGCTACAGAGAGAATAACCCCATAACTGGTGAAATGTGGTGGAATTCTTTTGAGTCAGTTTTCTATTATTTTTAAAGTGCAGAGTTGGCTTTAAATATGTGTTCGTCTCAAATAGTTAGGTAGCTTTATATTTGTTCTCAGTACAGAGAGAGGTTTTTTATATTTTTGCTTTTTTCCCCTGACTTTTGAATGTATTCTCTCCCTCTCAACATACCTTGACTTCATGAAACAAATGTGTCCAAAAATTAAACATTAGAAAGGGTCAATCTAAAGAAATTATGTATTATCCGATTAATATCCAATATGTCCTCTTTCTGGGGACAATACCTTGAATATGCAAGGAGGACTGGACTTGGAGAGATTTTTCACCTTAGGCTTCTATGATCTTGCTGTTACAGAGAGTAAGGGAGAGCATGAAAGCCATGACAAACAATTTTCTAGTCTGTTTTTTGAACTGAATCATCTTTACTTGCTGACTAGTTCCTGTTTGGCAGTTACTTCTGCAAAGGATTTAAAGAATTGTTTTCTAATTTTAATGGTTTTTGCTATGTCATTAATGTACATCTTTGTCAAGATTACATTCGATTCTGCGTTTATGGAGACACTCGTGGAAGCAGTCTGTTTGCTTTGCTGCCAAACGTAGTCAAAGGACTGGAGGGAAGGTTCATAAACAAAACACCACTTGTTCAATGCAATTTTTATTCTGTAGACCTATTTAGTCTATAACAGTTCAAACACACCACACGTTACATACTTCATTTAAGCACATTTCTTTAGAATTGGAGGGAGCACACGTGTTCCTAGTTCAAGTCTCATGGCAACAATTACTAACCTAGTTAAGCACACTACATTTCATCCAAATTGCAGTATAGTAATTGCAGAGGTTTTAAATTTTGCAGATAGGGGTGCTATGTTACTAAGAGTCAAGTAGAACAAAGGGAAGCTTCTTTTAGCATCACCTGTGTCAGTGACCCAATGGAGTAAGCCAGCTGTACACTCAGTGCTAATTCTTTCAATTTTGAAATCTTTTCCTGGAAAAAATCTGATGAACCACAGTAACAGCTACTCTGAAATAATTGTAGATAAGTTTGCACAATTTCCTTTGTATCAAGGAATTCATGCAGAACTCTGTTAAAATAAAGGCCAGCCGTCAGCTTATTTTCATCCTTAAAGAGCAACCCTCCGTTTTTTGGGACCAAATACTTTACAAGTTTGAAGAACTTACAAATCTGATTGATCAGCTGTGATACTCTTTACTCATTATTGTGGATCATATACTTGCTCTCTTTTTGTTTGTTCTGTTAGTAGTTAACTATTTTGCATATATGAAATAAATTCACTTGTTCTTGTACAGCCAGTTCTAAAAAAGAATACAAGTTATATTGAATTCTTTAAATTGTTAAAGGCAAACCAGAAGGTTTTAGCTAGATGATCAACAAACAAAAAAATTTGCTGTGGAATTATGTTGCAGCATTTTTATACACTTTAAATTAGGGAATTAATTTCATTTTCCCCTATCTTTGGGATAGTGGGCTTCTTGGATCTTCACATCCCCCTTCCCTCCCAACATACACACTTTCAAATCAGAGGGATTGCAAAAGTTTAGGGGGAAGGTTTTTTTCTTTTGTTTTTCAGTCAGTTAAATAATACCATTGATGCATAAGTAGCTATTTTCTCGTTTCATTTCTTTGTACAGCTGAGCCAATAACATTTATTAGTGAAAAAATGACTCAGAAGATTCAAGAAACAGACTTTAGTACTGATACATGTTGTGTTCCAGTAATCATAGTTCTCAGTCCAGCTACTATAGTCTCAATTGCTCTGTATTTGAGTCCCTAGCAAGTTTTTGTGTTTATTATTTTTCAACAATCTGCTCCTTATTCTGTTAAATTGTATTTAGTCAAACCCTTCTTTATGCTGTTATTCCAGAAGATCAGGTGCCACAGATAAAAGTAATGAATTGCATTCAATAAACTTGTTTGTTTTGTTTTTAAGCAAACCTTTCCATTCTGGGCTATCTTCATCTGTAGGAAGTCTGCCTACACTATTTGGTCACCCACCTAACTTTTTCCTTGTGATCCTCAGTGACTTCAACATGCTTTTCTAGAGAACTGTCTAGAGAACACAAAGGATGTGTCTTGTAATCTTCGAAATCTTTTGTGATACGTAAAGATACTATTGATGTTTGTTACAGAATATGCCGAGTTCCTACACTGCAAAGGGAGGAAGTTTACAGATTTTGATGAAGTTCGTCAAGAAATTGAAGCAGAAACAGACAGAGTGACGGGACTGAATAAAGGCATTTCTTCAATTCCTATTAATTTAAGAGTGTATTCCCCACATGGTAGGTAAAGTCATTCTACTCTGTATTTATGTAACTAATATTATATATTCTGTTTGTTCTCATTGCTTGACTAAAAAAATTCCAGAGAGACACTATTGCTAAAATTGACTTAGAGTGAAAATTTTGAGGATGTATAATTCATGTAACAGTATATGATCTGAAAAGGCTTCCTTCTGTTTGATTACTCCCTTTCCTGAACTTTGAACCCTGTCTATGTGAAGAAAGTGATGTCGTGTAGACAATAGATTGTCATCAACTGGTATAGAAAATGGTTAACAGTGTAGAGAGGACTAAACCATTTTTTTAAATCCTTACTGAAGAAAACTGGACTTTTAGATGATCATCATATGCAACCCAATTTTCAGAAAGGCTAACTTGGACATGAAGCCACATCCGCAGACACACTGAAATTTCCACTATAGCATGAATGTTATATCCTGTAATGGTATTACAAACTGCATGAGGTAGATGCATATCCTAAGGTAATACACAAATAAGTTTTTATAAAGGTTTTGAGTAATCTGATGAAACTGCTTCAGTTTCAACTAATTCTTAATTAGTTAAATGTCACATATATAGACATACTAGAATATAAGGAGTTGATGAAAGCTGACAACTTTACCTATGTTGCTTTTGGGATATGCATCGCTCCTTTAGTATTTCAGAATAACTAGTGAAAAAATATTGTTGTATTTCTTCTCCATTAATCTAGATAGGTCAGTTTTATATGAGATGAAGAAGTGCAAACTTGAGTCTGCATTTTTAAAATAATAATCATAGTATGAGCCATATGATCTCCAGATAAACTCTCACCTACCTTTAACAGTATTTTGTATTTTTTAACTTTTTTTGATCCGGACATCCCAAAGCACGTTTATAAATGTTAAGTATATAGCTCCATTATAAATTTGTAGTTGTTGAAAATGTCACTTCGATGTCCCAAGACAATGCCTTTGATCTACTCAAGTTTTGATAAACTTAGGCGCCGTAGAAACTTGTTGTTACAGCAGATACTGCTCTTGTTTTAATATTCTCTTCAGTGGCGGTGTGTCAGGCTCCTCTATGTGGCATAGTTACCACCAATATATACCACATAGCATTTACTCATGTGTCAGGTAGTTGGCAACCAATGTGGAGAAAATAGGATTCCCCAGTTGTTTTCTCTCTTGCACATTAAAACAACTTATGCTGTTGGCTGAGGTACCATCTTTTCTGTCTGCATCAATCCATATCATCTTGATCATGAACTGAAGAGCAAAATAATAGAAGTAGGGGAGGATAAGAAGAAGGTGCTTTATCGATCTTTTCAGTCTTCCATAGTGGGTCCATTCTGTACTTGTGGTGCTAGACCTTGTTTCAGTATTGTGTGGGCCTGCTACAGCCTGTGGGAGCAGGGCTCAACTGGGTTACCATGATTCATAGCTCCCCAGTGGAACAAGCTGACGCTCAGATTCCTCTTCTAGATATCCAGAGAAAGTTGGCTGTTACCACCCAAGAAAGAGATCTTGGAGTCACTGTGGATAGTTCTTTGAAAACTTCTGCTAAATGTGCTGCAGCAGTCAAATAGGCTAACAGTATTTTAGAAAGTGTTAGGACAGGGTCCCCAACGCGGGCCAGTTGTGTGCACCCACAGGACACCGCGCCGCTGAAATGCCGCCGCCGAGCGTGGCCGCCAGAGAACCGCCTGCTGAAATGCTGCTGAGAAGCGTTGCCGCTTCTCGGTGGCATTTCAGCAGCGGGGTGTCTGGCGCCCGCCATAGTCTTCTGGGAATAGGAATATGCTATTCCCACAGAAAGGTTGGGGACCACTGTGTTAGGAAATGGATAGAAAATAGGATAGAGGATATCATAGTGCCACTGTATAAATAGATGGTGTGCCTAGGCCTTGAATATTGTGTCCAGTTCTGGTAGTCCAGTCTCAAAAAGGATATAGTGGAACTGGAAAAGCTTCAGAGAAGGGCAACAAAGATGATCATAGATTGGAACAGCTTCCATATGTGGAGAGACTAAAAAGATTAGGCTGTTCATCTTAGAAAGGAGACAACTTGGATTCACCAAGGGCAAGTCATGCCTGACCAACCTGATTGCCTTCTATGATGAGATAACTGGCTCTGGGGATATGGGGAAAGCAGAGGACGTGATATATCTTGACTTCAGTAAAGCTTTTGATACGGTCTCCCACAGTATTCTTGCCAGCAAGTTAAAGAAGTATGGGCTGGATGAGTGGACTATAAGGTGGATAGAAAGCTGGCTCAACGGGTAGTGAACAACTGCTTGATGTCTAGTTGGCAGCTGGTATCAACTGGAGTGCCCCAGGGTCGGTCCTGGGGCCGGTTTTGTTCAACATCTTTATTAATGATCTGGATGATGGGATAGATGACACTAAGCTGGGGGGAGAGGTAGATACACTGGAGGGTAGGGATAGGGTCCTGAGTGACCGAGACAAATTGGAGGATTGGGCCAAAAGAAATCTGATGAGGTTCAACAAGGACAAGTGCAGAGTCCTGCACTTAGGACAGAAGAATCCCATGCACTGCTACGGGCTGGGGACCGACTGACTAAGCAGCAGTTCTGCAGGAAGGACCTGGGGATTACAGTGGATGAGAAGCTGGATGTGAGTCAGCAGTGTGCCCTTGTTGCCAAGAAGGCTAAAGGCATATTGGGCTGCATTAGTAGGAGCATTGCCAGTAGATTGAGGGAAGTGATTATTCCCCTCTATTTGGCACTGTTGAGGCCACATCTGGAGTATTGCATCCAGTTTTGGGCCCCCTCACTACAGAATGGATGTGGACAAATTGGAGAGAGTCCAGCAGAGGGCAATGAAAATGATCAGGGGGCTGGGACACATGCTTTACAAGGAGAGGCTGAGGGAACTGTGTTTGTTTAGTCTGCAGAAGAGAAAAGTGAGAGGGGATTTGATAGCAACCTTCAACTACCTTAAGGGGGGGTTCCAAAGAGGATGGAGCTTGGCTGTTCTCGGTGGTGGCAGATGACAGAACAAGGAGCAGTGGTCTCAAATTGCAGTGGGGGAGGTCTAGGTCTGTTTTACTAGGAGGGTGGTGAAGCACTGGAATGGGTTACCTAGAGAGGTGGTGGAATCTCCATCCTTCGAGGTTTTTAAGTCCCAGCTTGGCAAAGCCTTGACTGGGATGATTTAGTTGTTGTTGGTCCTGCTTTAAGCAGGGGGTTGGACTAGATGATCTCCTGAGGTCTCTTCCAACCCTAATCTTCTATGATTCTATGAACTGGGTGGGATGTGAGAGAAGTCTATAAAATCATGAATGATGTGTAAACAGTAAATAAAGAAGTGTTGTTTTATGCTTTCACCCAATACAAAAACTGGATGTTACTGAATGAAATTAATAGGCAGCAGGTTTAATACTCACAAGAGGAAGTAATTTTTCACACAGCTAACCTGTGGAACTCATTTCCATGGGATGTTGTGATGGCCAAAAGTATAACTGGATTAAAAAAACAACTGGATAAGTACGTGGAGGATAAATCAATCAATGGCTACTAGCCAAGATGATTAGGGTTGCAACCCCATGCTCTGGGTGACCCTAAACCTCTGACTACCAGAAGCCAGGAGTGCAAAATGGGTGAATCACTCTGTAATCACCCTGTTCTGGGTGTGCCCCCTGAAACTCTGGTATGGCACTGTTGGGCAAGATGGACCCTGGTCTGACCGAGTATGGTAGCTCTTGTGTTCTTATGGGATCTCCTGCCTGGAATTTTTTTGTATTTCCAGTGGGGTAATCCTTGGTAATCCAGTGGGCCAACTCCCCATCCCCATTTTCTGGCTCCCAGCAGCTGGTGAGTTCACTGTCTCCAAGTTGATCCTGTGGGAGGAGTGTGTGGTAGGATCAAAATATGAGTATGCCTTCTCTCTTTTTTTTTTTCTGCCCCACACACATCTTCTGTGATAATTTCCTGCACCTGTGAGTGGTCAGATTAGCTATGAGAAAATTCCAGCTCCTGCAAATATTGTGGCATTGATGCATGCTCATCTGGTTGGGCCACACTGTAGTGGTTTCTCACCAGAACCTTTGTGGGGACAGAAGAGAAATGTATTGGCCTTCCTTAAGGTACTCACACTTCTGTTCAAATGAGCTGAGGAAAAACCCAGAATCTTTAAAAGCTCTGCTTGTTTCAGACTTACTCTTCCTTTAGGCATACTGATTAAGCTGGGCTAAAATATACCTGGGAGAATGGGACATCACAAAAGTGTTTGAGTGACTCGCTTCCAAGACATGACTGTCAGTAAAACCTGTCCTCTCCCATCTCTAATCCTCTGCTTTGCAGGAACGGATGTCTAAAAATCTTGTCTTAAGCTCTTTTATTTTTGCAGTCTTCTGGATTTGGGAAACAGCCTGTGCCATCTCACCTCTGCTCCTAAAATGGGTAGTCATAAAGAAAAAGAGATAGACATGGATGCTTCTTGATCCTAACTGCCCAAATGTTGAGAAACATTCCGCACTTCTCATACAGTTGGGAGCAGGGCTGGATTAAGACCTTTAGAGGCCCTAAGCACTGAAAAAGATTATGGTGCCCCCCCTATATGTAATACAAAATAAAAACAATACTATACCGTAAAATAAAATTTTATTTTTTTGAAATGACACAAAATTTACATGTATGCTGAAATTAAAATGGCTTCTTTCTAGATTTTCTGATTGCAAAATTCTGGATAAGTTCATTGAAGCTGACTCGACGAAGCATGTCTGCTTCCATACACAATAGGGAAAGTGAATCAAGTCTGTCCTGACACAGTGTTCCCTGAGGGTTTTTATTCTTTTCAGCTGAGAAAAAGAACATTCTGCGGAGCAGTTCGTAATCATCAGTGTTAGAAAAATACGTAGTGCAAGCTCTACGTTTGGAAATATGCCTTGTATTCCATCTTTCAATATTGTGTCATGAAGAGCAATGTGACTGAATTTCATTTTTCCTGTTTCATTAAACTTTACGCGCGTGTAACAGTGGAACTGCCGTACTTCTCCACAGAGATTCATGTTCAAGTCAACAGGGTATGAATCAACTAGCTTTTGGGAACCTTGTGAATATTGTTCATCAGATAAATCCATGTCATTTAGAAAAGAAAATCTACTTGATACTTCTTTGTACACTTCACCTCTCCTCTTCATATGAGCTTCAAGTGTACCAGTTATAGCGTAGTAAGTAGATACGCGAAATTTGTCTCTAGGATTCAATGCTGTTTCTGTTGCATTGCTATCATTTGCTTGTTTTTTCCTGATTTGCTTGTGGGACTGGGCTTCTTTGTCGTTAGTATCAGGCAAGATATCTTTTGTTATGTCTTCAGATCTTTGGAAATCATTCCTCAAAGTGTGTAAGTGGTCTGCTAATGGTTGACAGAGGTCTGCACATGTTTTCAAATCCAATTCTTTTTCTTGGAGAGCTTGACTTGTGTGGTAAAAGTGTTGCAAAATTTCATTCCACATGGTCAACATGAATACAAACTCTAGTTCTTGCATTTTGTTTGCAATGTTTTCTGCCTCTCGTATAGTTTCTCCCGTTTGTGATTGTTCTTCAGCTATACTTCCTAATGCATCCACAATCTTTGAGTAGGACTCTAGAATTGCACTTGTTGCCACTGCATGTGCCTCCCAGCGAGTATTGGAAGGAGATTTCAACACACAATCATTGCCCAAATGTGTTTTAAGAACTGCCCATCAGTATGTTGAGGCAGAGAAAAATGTATAAAGTAACTGGACTGTTGAGAAAAAACTTACTGCCACCGGACAACAATCAACAGCACTGCGGCCAACAAGATTGAGAGTGTGCAGCACGTGGTATGAATATGGCATATTTGTTCTGTTCTAAAAGCTTCTTCTGCATTCCTTGATAACTCCCTGACATGTTGGCAGCTTGTCATAAGATTTGTTGGATCATATTAAAGAAGTTCTGTATTAAAATCACAAATGAGTTTGATTCCCCATAGTTTAAATTCAGGGTATTACTAATTAAGAAGTCTCTTGGTTTTTGGTGTCGTTTCTCTCCCTGTATGTGTGAAACTTGCAAGCTGCTAATTGCGTTAATACATTCCAAGACAGAGTCTGAATTCACAGAGAGAGAAACTCAAAGCAATACTCTAACAACAGAAACAGCACCCAGAGACTCCCCACCCTTTTGTTGTATTAACAATTGTGATTAAAATAGAGATAGAGGATGTATGTGGATGGATGCTTGGTGTGGATAATAACTGAATGATCAGGGAGGTGCCAGCCTAAGAATCCAGTATCCATCGGCTGAAGAAGGCGTCAAGTGGAAATAACCAGAGGACCCACGGAGGGCAGACTGGAATCCTCCCAACAGCCTCAAGAATGGGAGAACCAAAGAACAAGATAACATCTGGCAGCACGGAGCCCTCAGGAACGTGCCATCTGCTGATTGATTCAGCGACAGCATGATGAAGCAATTCCCATAGACTGGCATAGGAGGAAATTCCTATAAAAATGGACTCTACGAAGTGAGAACTTTGGGTTCTGATTCTGCAAACCAACTTCCAGGAGCGTCAGATGAGCATCTGACAAGGCCCTGCTCCCTCCTCATGTCCAGGCCACCTGGCCAGTGGCTTGGCATGAGTAACTCTAAGGCTGGTAACTATGATAACAACCTTGCAGAACCTCTGTGTGTGTGTGTGTGTGAATGAATGAATGAATGAATGAATGTGTGAATAAATATGAGATTGAATGGAATGTTATAGCTATAACTAACTGCTTACTATGATTCTTTCTGTATTCACAATAAATGTGGTATTTTGCCTTTTCTCCTTTCATAAGATCCTGCTGGTTTTTATTTTATTGGTACAACAGATTGACCTCTGCACTTCGAGAAATCTGTTTTGCAAACTTGGCACAGATAGTGCAGTACTGGTTTTGCCATTTCTTCACCAGTGTGGCTTTTCAAATTGAGGAATGTTTATAAATTGTTGAACTGGTTTTCCATCTGTGGGAGACACATATCTTAGTACAATACTCAGTTGATCAATATGTGAAAGATCAGGTGTAGAGTCTACAGATAAACTGAAGTACCCAGCAGTACTTATTTCATCCACAATAGCTGAACAAACTTTGTCACTCATTAGACCAATGAGTTCATCACATATTATCTTGGACAAGTATGATGGGTTACTTTTGCCAGCATTCCCATATTTTGAGATATGGCCTGCTAAAAATTGGTCAGACTGAGCCACAAGCTCCAACAGTCCCAAGAAATTTCCATTCTGCAATGATCCATATGTGTCATTTGATCCCAAGAAAGGCAGACCATGTTCAGCTAATGTTTGAATAACAGCTATAACATGCTGCAAGACATGTTGCCAGTATTCATGCTCCCCTTTAATTTGTTCTTCCAATTTTTGTCAATCCAAAGCCCTGTCTTTGATTTAAATATATCAACATTGAAACTCTGTGAGTATTGCTATTTTCATGTTGTTCAATTAATAGTATTCCGCCAGTTACTAAATCCATCTGCAGCAAACGTTGAAGATTTATACGCAAAAAGTCTGCAAACAGAACAGTACACAAACCCTGTTGATGGTGAATACAGTAGCCATTTTCAAGTGTATTTCTCACCATTCGCTTTCATGCCAAAAAATAGTTTTTGTGGATAATATCTTGTTTGCCACTGGTAAAAGTCCGACGTGATTTCTCAAATGGCCCAGTGTGTTGTTGACCGTCATATGGTCCACAATCTATCCAGTAAGCTACATCATCAGTACTGAAATCAACCCACATACCAGGATCTTTTCTCCTATTATTTACAGCATGAGCAGGTTCAGTCTCTGACACATCCACACTTTTTAGAACAAGGTCTGTTTTACCACCAGGAGTAGGATGATCAGTTACAGTCTCTGACACATCCACAGGTTCTGGAATGTTTGTTTCACCAGTAGAAGAAGGGTCAGTCTCTGAAACACCTCCAGGTTTTGGAACGATGTCTGTGCTACTGAGAGAAGATGTTGCTTCTGATGAATTCGCTTTGAAAAATGTCAGCTTTGGAAGATTTTGGAAAATTTCACTAATTTTTTGTTTCTTTTGTTCTGCCAATTTACATTTCTGTGCTCCACTCAGTTGGTTAGGTTTCATCCTGCCCCTTATCTCAGTTATCTGAACTTTAAAAAAAAACAAAACCAAATTACACAACGTATACTATTTTTATGTGTGTATGTATATAAAGAGGGAAAAAAAATCAAGTACATATAACTCAGAAGAATATATCAATAATAAAACAAATTTATTGCAGTATATGACAGAATCTGATTTCCTCGCATTATTTCGATCTACGTTAGTAGGACACCCCCCTGGTTTAGGTGGGGATAAGTAATAAAAAGAGAACAGAAAAATGGGGGAAGAGTGTGTAGTGGAGTGTAAGGAAGTCTAACAAAGTTCTGATTTTTCCCATGATGACTACTTCGATGCTTTTTTTGAAATATCAAATATCAAATTTTTTCCAAAAAAAATCTATATTTTTTTTTTGGTGCCCCCTGCTTTGCTGGTGCCCTAAGCATGTGCTTAGTCTGCCTATTGGGTAATCCAGCCCTGGCTGGGAGTGAATGTTGATGTTGGTTAGTGCTTTTGCCATTTATCTGAAAAAGGAAGTGGAAGTTAGAGGCATGACAGGCAGCTGAGCCCGCTGGGTAGGGACAAGAAGTTCTGTCTGTCGCTATGTAATTTGTAGGTTGTGACAAGCAGTTGCATTCTGGAACAAAACCGAACTTTGTAATGTTGAACTCTTCTGTGAGCTCTAGTTGTGTGTGCTTACAAAATAATGTTCAAAAGCCTTTGAAAATTGATACATCTATTCTAACTATGGCTCCCCACCAGAACTTCAGACTTGGATCATCTTTTTATTCTCTTTAGGGATGTAAAGTGTTAACAACAAGCCTTTTGGTCTTATGCCCTTTCTCTTTAGTGCTAAGCCTGACTCTTGTTGATTTGCCTGGAATCACTAAAGTGCCAGTAGGGGATCAACCTTCAGATATAGAGCAACAGATCAGAGACATGATTATGCAGTTCATTTCTCGTGAAAACTGTCTGATCCTGGCTGTGACTCCAGCCAACACTGATCTTGCCAACTCAGATGCATTGAAGTTAGCTAAAGAAGTAGACCCTCAAGGTAAGTGTGAACGATGTAAACCTTTCCCGCTTTCAGATACCATTGATGAAAATATACCTTGTAGTTTACTGTGGTGGATCATGCATTTAACAGTGCAAGAAAACTCATTACTCATAACTAAAAATTTTATACTGATTTCAACATCAGAAGAAGAATAGGAATTCTGCTCATGCAGCATAATTCAGTAAATTGTGCTATCAACTGAGGTCTAAAAGTAACCAGTGTATGGTAATTGAGTGAAGTATGAAATATACCTAATTGGAAATTTTTGTGACAGGGCCTCTATCAGCCGAGGAGTCTGTATCGCATCTTGCACCATGGGCCCTTGATGCTGACTGGGGTGCCTGGGTGCTACTGTACTATAAATGTTAGAATGATGTTTGTTTTCTTGGCATGCCTTGCTGACTGATATGACTATGTAATAAATCAACACATACAGCAAGAGTAAATGCAATTTGTCTTGGCAATGTAATAACATAGTGGTTCTCATCCAGGGGTACATGTACTCCAGGGGGTACTCAGAGTTCAACAAGGGGGTACATCGACTTCTCTAGAGTTATACAACAGGCTACATAAAAAACACTAGTGAAGTCTGTAGAAACTAAAATTTCATACAGACAATGACTTGTTTATATTGCTCTATATACTACACACTGAAATGTAAGTACAATATTTATATTGCAATAGATTTTAGAATTATATGGTAAAATGAGAATGTAAGCAGTTTTTCAGTGCTGTGACACTTTTGTATTTTTATGTCTGACTTTGTAAGCAAGTAGTTTTTAAATGAGGTGAAACTTGGGGGTATGCCAGAGAAATCAAACCCCTGAAAAAATGAGGAGTCCTTATGGCACCTTAGAGACTAACAAATTTATCTGGGCATAAGCTTTCGTGGGCTAGAACCCACTTCATCAGATGTGAGTAACAGTAGGGGGAAATTAGGTTTAGCTTTTGTAATGACCGTTCTTTATAGACTGGGAGTGGTTGGGTCATTACAAAACCTGAACTTAATTTCCCCCTACTGTTACTCACACCTTCTTGTCAACTGTCTGAAATGGGCCACTCTCATTACCACTTCAAAAGTTATTTTCCCTCCCTTGGTATCCTGCTGTCAATTGAATTATATCGTTAGACTGACCTCACACTTAGTAAGGCAAATCACATCTTTTCATGTATTTATACCTGCTCCTGTATTTTCCACTCCATGCAGCTGATGAAGTGAGTTCTAGCCCACAAAAGCTTATGCCCAAATAAATTTGTTAGTCTCTAAGGACACCTTGTTGTTTTTGCTGATACAGGCTAACACGGCTACAACTCTGAAACCCCTGAAAGGGATGCAGTAGTCTGGAAAGGTTGAGATCCACTGTAATATAACATATTTCAGAGTAGCAGCTGTGTTAGTCTGTATCCGCAAAAAGAAAAGGCGTACTTGTGGCACCTTAGAGACTAACCAATTTATTTCAGCATAAGCTTTCGTGAGCTACAGCTCACTTCATCGGATCCGATGAAGTGAGCTGTAGCTCACGAAAGCTTATGCTCAAATAAATTGGTTAGTCTCTAAGGTGCCACAAGTACGCCTTTTCTTTTTTGTAATAATATAATGTGCTGCCACCTGGTGGATTAGAATTCAAGAGTCTGACTTGGTAGAGTTGGGAGCATTTTGTATTACTGCAAGAGGCCCCCACTCCCCGCCAATTCAAAAGAAGTGCTGACAGGCTCAAGAGAGCCATGTTCATCTGTTGCCTGGTGGGGCTGTGACTACATTACATTTGTATTACTCACTCTCAAGGTAAAGAACAAAAAAGTGGGTGTGGAGTCCAAGAGCGGCTTGATGGACTAAAGGAAAACCGGAAAGGCTCTGTTACCAGAGTGGGAACTATAGTGCTAGCATGCAAGATCCCTGCCTCACTATCTGGCACACCTTAACTGATTCCTGTACTTGGCTCTGCTTATGGTCGGTAGGCCCAAACTGACTTCTGCTATCTCATTTATTAGCTGTTGGCTCTGTTCATGTGCGTGGTGGATGGACACTGACCTAGCTCCCTGCTCCCACCCTGCCCCTGGATCTGGAATGGACAGGTGGTTTTTTAAAATTAAAAAAAACAAAATAAAAACTAAGGTGACAGATTAAAGATGCAGTTCTCTTGCATTAAACTCCATTACAGATCCATAGGAATAGTGAGAAAATACTCAGTTCTTTCCTACCAAGTAAACTAAGTACCAGAGAGTAAAGTTTAATTAATTTGGTTTCCCTCAGCATAAATGATATTTAACTATTTTTTGGGGGGGCGGGGGGGGTGGGGTTGGTGATGCAGGCCTGAGAACCATTGGTGTAATCACAAAACTGGATTTGATGGATGAAGGAACTGATGCAACAGAGATTCTGGAGAACAAGTTGCTCCCTCTTCGTAGAGGTAAGAATGTTAATATTATACTCCATGTACCAGTTCCTTCTGTAGCAAAGTGGTGATGAGGAAGGTAGGCATTTGGTAAATCAACAGAAGATTGGTTTTAATGGAGTGCTCGGTTAGAAAATCTCTGCAGTTTACCTTCAGATTACAGTAGAGATTGTGCTCATAGCCTTTATCATCACACTAAGCTATGAAAAAGCAAAGGTAAGAGGAGAAGGGTGCCCAAAATACCCAATAAGGGGGGGAAATGAACTAAGACTTCAGAACAGGCTGCACGAGGTGTAATGGGAAATATGAGTTTAGGTTACCTGCAAATTTCCTTTTCTGTGACAATGTCTGTTGTTCCTCGCAATGTGTGGGAGTGCCTTGATGCAGTCTGGAAGCAGCCACTGGATCTTTGATGTCACTGCAGTCTAAGCTCTGCCCCTTTCCAAAAGCTTTTCAGATGATCGTTTATAGAGCTAGAGAGACATGTTCCTTTCCACCATCAGAATAATACAAAAGTAATATTGAAATCGAACCCAGTTTCACCAGGTAGATCAGCCCCCTTTTTCTTTTCTCAAAACCCCAGAAAGCAAACCAGCCAGAGAGGGATCAGACCAGAAGACAGGAAAATCAATATCAAGACCTCCTATTTTCTTGTCCTGTTTGTTACCCTTCTGCCACATCCTCCTCTTCTTCCCCTGTGGTGTGCAAGTCACTCTTGTTTTGCACATCCCTTGGAATGCCAAATCAGTGCAAGTGATATTGTCTCCCCATTTAAACCTGGTTTCCGACCAGCTTACCCCCAATATTTAACTTATACCACCATTTCAGTCATCACTGAATTTGAGCCAGTGACTTCCATGGAAGCTGTGCCCACATATGCCGAGCCTGAACCCCGCTGAACCCATTAAGTTTATTGCAATAATTTAAAAAAATTACCAAAAATAGGTGAACTTGGTCTGTACTGAGCTAACATGTACACTGCCCCGTGGGGAGTAACAGCATTGACTTACAGGGTTGTTTTGATCTTGTTTTAGGGTATATTGGAGTTGTAAACAGAAGTCAGAAAGACATTGATGGGAAGAAGGATATTAAGGCAGCCATGCTGGCAGAAAGGAAATTCTTCCTTTCCCATCCAGCTTACAGACATATGGCAGACAGGATGGGAACACCATATCTGCAGAAAGTTCTAAATCAGGTACAAGCAAATGTGAAAAAGTGTGTGTGTGTGTACAGGACCAATAAAAAATGCTGGATTAAAATCACTGTTGTAGTGCACCTGATTCTTTCTTTCCTGTTTATAACACTGTATTTTCCCCAACATATCACAGGGGATTATGTATGAAACTCACTGCAAAGAGTACAGGAACCAATCTCCCCTGCCCCCTTGCCAGTGTATTGCAGGAGTCACTCAGCTGAAGTCAGTGGAGTTTAAATCATTGTGCTAGACATACATTACAATAATGGTGACCCTTTTGTTTAAATTCACTCCCCACCTCTTTCATAGGTTTCAGAGTAGCAGCCGTGTTAGTCTGTATTCGCAAAAGAAAAGGAGGACTTGTGGCACCTTAGAGACTAACCAATTTATTTGAGCATGAGCTTTCGTGAGCTACAGCTCACTTCATCGGATGCATACCGTGGAAACTGCAGCAGACTTTATATACACACAGAGAATATGAAACAATACCTCCTCCCACCCCACTGTCCTGCTGGTAATAGCTTATCTAAAGTGATCATCAAGTTGGGCCATTTCCAGCACTGATCACTTTAGATAAGCTATTACCAGCAGGACAGTGGGGTGGGAGGAGGTATTGTTTCATATTCTCTGTGTGTATATAAAGTCTGCTGCAGTTTCCACGGTATGCATCCGATGAAGTGAGCTGTAGCTCACGAAAGCTCATGCTCAAATAAATTGGTTAGTCTCTAAGGTGCCACAAGTACTCCTTTTCTTTTCACCTCTTTCATGTTACTTTCAAGCATCAGGATATCACTTGGACTCATTATACTGATCTCTGGCTTTTTAAGCGGCCTAGCATGAAAACATGACTTATAACTCATTGTGTGATTTAAAGTTCCCAAAGAAGAAAATTCTAGGCAGTCCATCTGACTTTAGATAAAGAATGCATTTTCCTGTCTCCCTCTGTGCATTATTTCAGGTTAAGGATTAGATTATGGCACTAATCACAGCCCTGTGTAAGGGGTAATATGGAGCTAGAAGCTACCCCAAGAAGGGCTAGGGTGGGCTGGGGTTTTGGAGTTGTCCCCCAGGAGACACAATTGCTCCATGGAACACATGGGGTGCTCATGCTGCACCTTTGTTTGGTCTCTGGGGCAGTGAATAGGGGTATAGGGTCATAGCCCTGTCTCCTCATCTCCTTTGAGGTGATTTGTGACCCCAAGAGAACACAGAGCAGTTCTTGTGATTGGTTGAAGACTCTGATGAATATCCTCTGGAGAACAGCGTGGTGGATCACACCTTCCTCCAGCTGGGAAACTAGAGGCTGATCCATTTGTCACTCACCTGAACAAGAAACTATCAATGTACTATTCTGGCAAGGGATACCTTTTCTATCCACAGTATAGGGGAGTCTTGGAAACCGTTTACCACTACCTCTGGTAGCAAAGGTGCTGACCAAGCTCAGGGGGGACCAAGGGTTGATTGAAATTGATAACCTTCTTTTGGCTGAGACAGATGGTTCTCGGCCCAGCTGTGGATGATACTGACTTATGCAATGAGATGGGAACCAGGCAGTCTCTTGATAGTGTAAAACTCCAGAGGCATGATGTTTCTTAGCAAATGTCTCAAGCCTTCCTGGTTTATCCAAAAGAGTCCACTAAAAGGGTTTAACATCATAAAGGTTTGTTATTTGGTGTGTGGGGGCCAACATGGATCCCTTTATAAATTGGTCACTTCCTCTGGGCCCCATCCTTCCCTTTCCCCCCAAATTCAACCAAACTAATTGTCTGCTAGATTTAAAGACGGATTCCCTTCATGTTCATTTTGGCAACTCTCTTGGACTACCATGAATTTGTTGAAGGGTAAACTAAGTCTCTCTTCAGCAACTTATCAGGCTAATGTGGGCATATTGAATTTGACATCCCCTATTTAAAAAGTCTTGTGTTGTTGGATATTCATATAATCCTGACAAAACTTATGGTGCCTCTTTTTGAGCTATTTATTTCCTACGAGTTCAAATTTCCTACATTGGCTTGTTTATTTCCATGTCTATGCTTCTTAAGTATACATTAAGTGTAGTAATGGAAATAACCTAGATAACGCTATTAAGGAAGGAATAGTGAAGGGTCATCATAGTAGGGGACGACCAGCGATGAGATAGATGGATAGTCCCTGGAAGGCTAGTGCTGAGAGTTCCAAGTTAGTGATGGATCGTGAAGGCTTCTGAACATTCTGCTATGATGTCACCGATATTCAGGCATGAAGAAATGGATTTATTACTTGCTTAATTCTGTTGGCTTGTAACGGGTGAGTGAGCTACAGGTTCTAGTGACTGATCGACCTCATACCAAGTTTGAAAAGGATAAGATGGTGCTCTGAAAGCATCCCTAAATTCCTTATTGAAAGTAGTGTTAGAGTTCCAACTTAATGAGCTGATCATCTTGCCAATGTTCTTCTCGTTTCTGCTTGCTCATCTCAGTGAGACTTTTCCCATGTTCGCTGTTACAAAGTTCTTGGCTCTTTATTTGGAGAAGAATAAGGGCCTTAAAAAGCCCACCTGGTTCTTTGTTTCCTTTGACTTCAGTTAACAGATGCCAATAACTGCTGCTGTTTCCAAGAGGAACAAGACTAAATGATTGGCATTTCTCACTACAGTGACTTGGCAGGCGTGCAATCTGATGGCTGTTTTGAGGCATGTTCTGTTCAGGTTAGAGCAACCACTAGAGAGGAATACCAGGGCAGTTTATCTGCGATACAGAACCTGTTTCTGAGACAGGGTGGCAGAACTCTCATGCATCCTATACGTTTGCTTTTGTTTGGAATGTTTTTGTTTTGGTCACTTTTTGGAATGTTTTTTTTTTTAGGTTAAAATAGTTAAATTTCTCATTACCATAGGGAGGTATCTTATCACTTCCCAGTTATTTTATTTTACTTACCAGTAATTAAAATTTGTCTGAGTTGGCTACTTTACATAAACACAGTCTGCTGTGCCCCTCGGTATTCATTGTTGGACTTCCGTGAAGTTTTATTTGAATGGAACGGGTTATGCTGTAGAGATCCCTGTAAGTACCATTCATATGAATCATGTTGTTGTTACACGTGCAGGTGCCTGTTTGAAATCTGCTTAAAATTTAAATGTCTCTGGATCCACAAGGTGGTGCTCAAATGAAACTCCAGAGTGTGATTCTATGGGGAAAATAGCTCATTGAACTCTGTTTACAGGGTTTTTCTGAACAATAATTTATTCCTGGTTTGTTTTAGAGGGAGAAATAATAGAGGATTTATTTGTAACATAGATTCAAAAAAACCCTTTGTCCTTAATCAATGAACTGTGGTTATTTGTGTATGATCTGTTACATCTTTGTCCATTAAAAATGGAAGAATCCCCACCATCACTTGGGCAAATATGAAATGCACTAGTAACTTCTCAGTAGCTTCTTCTGTTGAGTGGTTATAAAACTATGACACTGATCAAAGCAAACTTGCACCTTTCCAAATTGCTAGATTTGTTGATGTTTGGAGTGTGATGAGAGGTCAGTTAGTGAAAATATGAAAACCAACTGATGTAATTCTTGACCTTTGCCAGATATTGATTGGACATTATATATAGCAACCACCTCCTTCTTCCTGAATTTTTATCCATCTTTGTGCCCCTGAAGCCAATGCACTTTACTGTGAGTACAGTATCGTATTTATTTGTTTCATGGTTATTATTGACTTGTTTCAGACATGCCCCAAAACACATTAAAATATTTTAAAAAATCATTCTTCTTACAGAGCATCAAAAATGTGCTTGGAACTGTACAAAACAGAAGTGGCCCATGGTCCAATGAGTTTACGGTCTAATTAGACATTGATAGTACAGGTCTTACTACAATACACATGGAAACTATAAATGAGCAAAGGTCAGGCCTTCATGTAATCAGTGAGTTTTGTTTGTGAATTAGTTTCCCCCCCTGTGCTTCCTGCTTTTCCATTCTCCAGTGCTTTAAGGATTACCAATGAAAGTCAAGATAAAGTGATTATAAGGCAAGATTTTTTCCCCCATATAGCTGTTGATACTAAAAGCATCTAAACTGTATGTTAGAGGGCTTTCCCTTCACCCTCTCCCCGGGTTCTTGTCACGTAGACAGAGAGCAGAAGTCTGAAGTGCAGACAATGTGATAGCTCTACATGCTGGCAGAGTCTGTTTCCCAATGTTCTGTTCCTAGCTCTGATGCCGCAGAGCCTTGCCTTTGGGGGGAGGGATAGCTCAGTGGTTTGAGCATTGGCCTGCTAAATCCAGTGTTGTGAGTTCAATCCTTGAGAGGGCCATTTAGGGATCTGGCCCAAAAATTGGGGATTGGTCCTGCTCTGAGCAGGGGGTTGGACTAGATGACCTCCTGAGGTCCCTTCCAACTCTGATATTCTATGTCCCCATTCTCATTTCCAATTCCCCATTCTCTCCTTCTCCTTCTTCTTAGCAGGCCCAAATATACCTGCAGTGCACGCCTACAGTCCCACTGGGAAGGGTAAGGAGTGAGGTTGTGCTGCTGTCAGGGACGGGCATTTGTTTGGTCTTTTAGTATTTTACACCTCCCCCACTCCAAACCCATTTGCCTCTCCTGACTGGTTGCTTGACTTTGCCTTGAGATACGGGTTGAGGCAGTCTTAAAGTGTGCACTCAAGTAACAATTTAACTGCTCTGATCCAGAAGCAACATACACAATCTTTGTCCTTTGTTTTTGCATATTAGTATAAGAGTATCAAAAAGTCAAACCCAGAATTCTATCCCAGGCTAACAAACAGACCTATATACTAACACTGTAGAACAGTGGTGCCCGCCTTAGCCTGAGGGCCAAACATTATCTTAAAAAGACCCAGAGGCCCCAGTCAATGTTGGGGCAGTTCCTCTGCCCTGTTCAGTTCTCTTTGCACAAAGGGAGAAGAAACCACCTACAAGTCTTCTGCTAGGGGACAGGGAGCTATAACTTGTGGCTGGTTCTCAGCTTCTTCTTTCCTATATCTTCTGCTGCCCTGTGTGGGGTAGGGGAGCAATCCTCCAATAGATGATGTCCTAGGTGCAGACAGAGCCAATTGAGCAGCTATCCTGCTTTCCATGGGCCTCCCACGGCCTGGCAGGGAAGGTGTCAATGGAGCAGAGCTGCTCCCAGGGCTGTAGGAGAAGATGCCCCTTATTTCCTCACTTTAGTAACAAGGCTGATTCAAACACTATTTAAAAGTATCAGGGTGGGGTTCAGGGAATGTGGTTGTTTTTTTCAGTTTATACAAATACACATCATCTTAACACAGTTCTCCTCAAAGGCCCCAATTCAGAGACTTGAGGGCCGCAAGTTGGATACCAGTGCTGTATGTATGGGTAAATAATGCAATAGAGACTCTCCAATAATACAGATGTGGCCTTCTGGGAGAAAACATTTCAGTGGAGTAGCCAGGATTTACCATATTGTCCTAGGAGCAATTTGTGTGTTTCCAAAATCCTCTGCTAGGTTTGGAGGTGGCTAGAAAGAATGTGTTCAAACTGTGGATGGATTTGAGCCCTTTGACCATTACTTGAAGTGTCCATGTAGTATACTCGTGGAGTGTCTGATTATAGTGGAGTGTATGATTATAGTACAACTGGCAAAAACTGCTCAGATGCTTGCCTCGGATGAGTAGAAATTTGGACCCGGTAAATCAGCTGTGTCTGGCTGGGATGCTGCTGACATTTTGGAAGAGCAGAAAGGAAAGAAACAGTGACCCAGACACTGTCGTCCCATAACAGGAGGGAGCAGCAGAGCTGTTTGCTCTTTTTCAGGGGGTGAGGGGTAAAGAGGGAGTAGTGTCGCTAGAGCTGCTAGGTTTGTTGTCCCCCAGAAGTGGATGGGAGATCAGTCTATGGCTTACTCCCCAGGAGTCGCAGATCCTTTAAAAGGGGAAGTGGAGCAAACGGCAGAGGCCCTAGGTAAAATGGAAGAGTTGGAAAACTGAGGGTCTGCTGTGTGCCTGAGAGCAGGCCATAGCAGTAGAGAAATCCTGAAAAGGGAGGAGAGGGGATGGCATTGGTTGATCGTATAAGTGGCTTTCTGAAAGGGCTAGAACTTAATGTGGAACTGTGCCACTGTCAATTAACTGTGCCTGGCTTTTGTTGGTGTAGCTGAGCAAGTGTTTTTTACCAAGCCTCATTTTAGTGCTCAACAGAGTGTGTGTGTGTGTGTGTGTGTGTGTGTAAGGGGGAGGGATGCCAGATAATTGTTCAAGCTCTGATTATAGTATGTGTACAAGAAAAGAGGCTCTTGTATTGCCTGTGGGTATTCCTGTCACTTCAAAGATCAACCTGAATTCCATTGGAAAGCCTAGCACAAGTCATATTTTCTTGTGTGTGGCCATCAAAAGGAATGGGCTATATCCTTTCCATCCATCTGCCTTTCCAGTGTTTTAAAGAATTCATTTTTTTGTAGCAACTCACCAATCACATTCGAGACACACTGCCAGCCTTCCGGAGCAAACTTCAGAGCCAGCTGCTTTCTATAGAGCATGAAGTAGAGGCATATAAAAACTTTAAACCAGAAGATCCGACGAGAAAGACTAAAGCCTTACTGCAGTGAGTGTCCATTTCCTCCTCCATGTATGTAAAATAGTTTCTCGCTTGTTTAAGCTTAAAGCTTAGGATATTGATGTTTCTAGTGAAAGGCAGATGCAGAAGGATGCTTATACATTCTGCAAACTTCAAAGAGGTTATTTTGGCTGAAAGCATTATAACATTTTTAGCCACTTTCCATTTTAGAAAGATTTTTCCATAATTCATTTTAATAGTCATAGAATATGCTGGGCTGGATGAAAATCATTTTGTTTTGTCCTACGCTGAGCATTATAATCTTGGGCTGTGGTTTGTGTACTCTGTGCTAAACTGGAACCCCCTGGAATGCCGGGTGTGGTTCAGGGAACCTTTTCTTGCTTTTTAATCAAAAATACATGTTTTCTTAACATAGCTGTCTTTGCGTCCACTGCTGTTTGTTATCATAGGGTTCCCTCATGGGACTCTATGTTCAGTATGAGTGCCAACTTATCTGGACATTTATATCAAGCCATATAGAAAATCTAATTAAAAATAGCTGGTGTTTTTAAGAGAGTAAGCCGTATACATTTATAAAAAGACTTGAAAAACCTTATACTTGTTTGTGTCCTTTGGGAGTGGAGAAGGCCATGTAGGTACCACTGTTAACCCTAGAAATATCATTCTTTTGGCAATAAATACAGTGAAATAAAAATGAAATGAAAAGCTTAGCTTACGCATTGTTGAGTTTGTTTCTGTTTTGAAATTTAAGGATGGTTCAGCAGTTCTCAGTGGACTTTGAAAAAAGAATTGAAGGATCAGGGGATCAAGTTGACACATTAGAACTATCTGGTGGTGCCAAAATCAATCGCATTTTCCATGAGCGTTTTCCTTTTGAACTAGTAAAGGTATGTGTCTGTCTGTCCTCCTTGCTTTGAGTTGTGTTTTTATATTTTCATACTCATTTTGATAGTGGCAATGAAGTTACATTTCCTTTGAAGGTGTTCTAACAGGAAAACCCTTAATTAAAAGGAGTAAACTACACAAAAGAGAAGAATTATCACCAATACACAGGAAAGAAGTTTATTTTTATTTCTGGTTATTAACACGAAATCTCAATCTGAGATTGTTGTCATATGCAATATTCAAAACTCAGTCATAATTCTACATTAATTAAAAATGGCTCAAATGTTTGCTTTCTGTGGCTTTTGCAAAAACATTTCCCGCTTTGCTCCCTAATTTCTCAATTTCATTTCCAGTATTCTTGCAAATTTGTAAGGAATGAATCATGTTTTGTAACAAATATCTTTGTAACTACATGTCTTCTTACCTTGCAAAATTAGTCTTGGTAGAATTCAGCTGTTACATGTGACATCTTACATTTCTCTTTCTGCATGGACTAATGTCAAAACTAGCGGTCATGTTTTGATATTTATTCATGTCTGTCTCTTTTTCCCAGCTCTTACTATTTTCCATACCTTTTCCATTGTTCTACCACTGTTGGCTGCTCTCCTCATCTTTTTTCTGGGTAGATGGGGCAGGTAAACAACTGCTTCTGATGTAACTCAGATTCTCTTGTTAGTGATGAGTACTTAGGTACCTTTTTAAAATTAGAGCTGTGGAAAATAGCTATTAGTTTTGGGCTTTTTCTTACCAGTTCGGTTTAAGGTGCAAAACATGCAAGCATTTATCCCCAGATTGTAGAAAAATGCAGGTTTTGTGTTTAAAAAAACCTCTGTCTGAGACACCCTATCTGCTCTTCTGCCAGTCTTACAGATAAGCTCTGTGTGTATGTGTGCGTGTCAGTCCACCAGAATTTTAACAATAAATAAATGGAACACATTTCTCCTAAGGTGACCATCCCCAAATCCTACCATGAGTGTGTTTTGTAGACCCTGGCCTCTCTGGTTGTCTAGTAGGATGTTCTGCAGAATTGTTAAAAGCATTTGTGTATAACATGATTTTTATCCTTTGGTTCCTCTAGATGGAATTCAATGAGAAAGAACTGCGGAGAGAAATAAGCTATGCAATCAAAAACATACATGGTATCAGGCAAGTGCTTCCCATTTCTCCAGGTTCAGACACATCTATAGAAAGCATACTCTTGTTAATCCATAAACACACTCATCACCTTCTCATCCACCTGGCAGTTGATTTTTTAAAAAATATATCTCATGCCTGCATTTTTAACATAGCCATGAGAGTGGTGGCTCTCATACCCACTAATTTGCATGGAGATACCAAATTTGTCTGGGACTTATGGAGAGATCATGTACAGAGCAAGTCTACACAATTCTTCTGGTTGTGCTGATCGCTGCTGTTAGAGCACCCACATATGAGACACAATTTTTATGTAGCACAATGGCTGATGGAATTGGTGCGATTGATGGATTGAAGACACAAAATTCAGAAAAAAGAATGATTCTCTATCATTTCTTTGCTTGGCTTGAGTTGCTTACCACATACATTCTATATCAAATGCAAAAACGATATGAAATGGACACTTTTGGGTTCAACCCAGACCAGTAAAGGGTTGTCACCACGTGCCCTGTAACCATGTATGCCTCTGTGGCTCGGAGCCTTGATACCCGCTGTGGAATCACAGCACAGTAGCCCCTCCGTGGCTTTCACCAGCCTGGTTACTCCTTGAAGGGTAACACCAATAGGTCTTGTAGCCATGTTTTCCCCAAACAGTTTTCCCTGTAGTGTCCAGTCCCTCCCACTAGAACACTCACAAAACCTTATCAAGTTCTCCTCTCCTTAAAAGAGACAGTACACAGCAGCCTATTAGCTTACCTGAGGTTAACACACCTTTCCCTTCAATCACAGCACTGAGTTGGTTTATAGTGAAAGTAAAACCAGTTTTTAATAAAAGGACATGGGTTTAAGAGCTATCAAGTAGAAGGAATAAGCATAGGAATGATCACAAACAAACAAAAGTGAAAATATGCTATTAAGATGGAAACTCAACAAACTAGAGTCTTTTGTTCATATTCGTTTTCTCAGCATAGTCCTTAGCCAGGATCCAAACACAGTTCACAGCACTTGGTTTCTTTGTGTCCACAGGTGAACGATGACATAGTGGTTTACTCCCCCTCTCTTTATAGCCCAGTAAACCTTTGAAATGTATTCTTCTGAAGTGTACCTCCAGGTAAAGTTCCCTTCCCATGCTGGCTTCTCCCCAGCTGGTGATTTTAACAATGTAAATGATCTTCCTGCAATCTCAAATTTGTAATCTGAACATGTGCATTACCTCATCTGCTTTCTGGAGTGTTCTGCCCTACAGCAAGGGTGTGTGTGCTGTTCATAAGCAATTCTCAAAGGAAAGAAAAATAGGTGGTTTTTAGGAATTAAATTCTAATCAAAACTAAATGGTGTTAAAGGTTTTCTATCATTTACTTTTAAAAAGTCTAGGGTAGCATGCAGGCTTATTACATATTGTGCTGCCCCCACCCTCCATAAGTTGGCATTCTGGCTAAAGAAAAAAAATTGTTTCAGTAAATATTTTGCTTCATTTTTAAGGGCAGCCACTATATGTTGAACGTTTATTTGGCCCATTGGCGGTTCACTACTCTGTCAGCAACTCTTGTCAGGCCTAGCATGCTCAGTGCACCTCACATACTGTTGTCATGGTATTTATCCAAAAGGTGGCATGTAAGAAATCTATGGAAAACTAGTAACTCACTGATCATTAATATTCTTGTGTGATGTATGTACATTTAATCTACAAAATTTATACTCTGCGTACATCACGCAATAATATTAATGATCAGTGAATTATTATTTTTCTGATTTATTATAGCCCACTTTTTGGATAAATATTTTGACAACAGTGTGTGAGGTGTACTGAGCAAACATTAACAAGACCCTTAACACAGTTTAGTTTTTATTAGAATTTCATTCCTTAAAAAAAAAAATCCCAAAACTATTTTGTTTCCATAGAAAGCCGATAAGACAATGCACGTGATCAGATTACAAACTTGAAGCTGTTTGGAGCTTGGTATGTAGACATTACTGAGACTCAGGGTGGTTAGAATTTGGGATGTTGATGCTGTTCTAGATGGACTGAGCATCTGCCACTGAAGGCTGGCCATCAGAAGATGTGATGTAGGCATCATATGTCAAGGATTTCAGTGCAGGATTGGTTCAAAGTTGGCACAGATGCTGACACAAAGCTTGTCTCTCAGTATATCATGGATGCTTTCTGGCTTTGCTCTATTGAAACATTCATATTTATGCCTCTTGAATAATGTTATGATCATGGATCTGACCATTTTCCCAAGGTGCTGAAGCTTTCTAGGAAGATGAATTCTGGGATAAACAAATAAATATTCCCATATGTGTTCTACTTATTCCAGATTCTTCATCATTGCATATCTGTTCAGCCAGTGAAGGTGTCATATTTGCTAATTATGGGAAAAAAGGAACAAGTGCATCCAAAGGTGTATAGGAGGATGGAAACCCAGTGGCCAGCGGATTGCGTAGGCTCTATTGGTATCTTTCTGCCAGGCTTTGTGGAATTATTCAGCTCCTTCCTGTTGAAAATTTGACACACGTCTATATATTTGTTTGTTACTGCCAACACTACTCATGAAGTCTCAATCTATCCACCTTTAATTATATTTATTGGTCTTATGAGTAAAGGAACATTCCAGTAATGCTTCCTGGGAACATGATTCACAGGGTTTAATTCTCTATGACCTTGTGTAGCTGATACTATCTTGGTCCACACACTGGGGATTGAACTGGAAAACTCCAGAGCTAAAAGCATGAACTGCTATAGTTTCAGCTAAAGATCTAAGACTGTAGCTGGGCATATAACAATGTAGCCAAGGGCTGTTAACAACTCATTTTCACGGTTTCAGGGTAGCTGCACCTCCAGGACCTGTTGAGGGCACCCACTTAAAGGTTCCTGGTTCCCAGCTATTGCCTCTTTTGGGCTGAGACCCACAACTTTCTCCCTCTTGACCAGGGTTTAAGGCTGCACAGCTCCCTGCCTTACACTGTGATATCCCCAGCAAGCCAGCCTGCCTAAATAACCCAGCACCTGCATTTTGCTTGTTACCAGAGGGCTCTGAAGAGTATAAATGCCAGCAGTTCCAAGTTACCATACAGCTCTTTCCAAGCAATCGCATTTTTTCTTCAGATAAAAGCATTACAGAGAAAATATATATTTAAAAACAAAATTGCTCTATGCATGCTAACAGCTTACCAGAGATCACCCATCAGTCTTATAGGGCCCCAGTAGGACAAAGTCCTCTCAACTCTTCTGCAAGGGTTGGGGTCCCCGTTGGACAGCAGGTCATGTCTGTTTGCTAGAAGAAGTCAGTTTAACTTTGGCCTGTTAATCCAAAATTCCTTCTTTTTGTCTTTTGGTCTATGCAGAATCCAGTTTGCACTAGTGTAACCCTTCTGCCAGGTGAAGCCAGCATTAACAAGGGCCAGGTTCAGTATCTAGGGGTTCTCTTTCAACAATACAACAGAAAACCGGCTCGAACCCCCACCCAGTGACCTATAACAATTACACACCATCCCCTGGGCGCTTTTAAGAGGCAATACGTCCCCTCTAGCAAGCACAGAGTCTGAGTGTAGCAAAAACTTTTAATAAAAGGAGGGAATTAAGTCAGCATTAATTTGGGAAAACACCGCAAGTAGGGCTCATAAACACAAACCATGAGCAAAAGACCCACCCCCAAGTAAGTTGGGCAGTGTCCTTTTCCCCTCAGGGTCTTAAGTCCAGCAACCCAAAAGTCCCTATAATGTGCCTATCTCTTCTCTGTACCCCACTCACAGTTGCTGTCCTTGGCCAGTGCAGCCCCAGACTTCAGAGATTCATCTGCAGAGTTCACCTCCCATCCTGTGTGGAAGGGGGGGTAAGGTGGCACCTTACACGCTGCACTGCTCAGGCACTCGGTCGTCGCCCCAGTGGCCAATTGCCATGCCTCTGCTCTGGCCCTCTCCACCAGCCACCCTGCTAGCTGCCTGCCACACCTCTCCACCTGCCACCCTGTGGGTCGCATCCCTCCGCCAGGTGCCCTGTGGGCCACGCCTCTCCTCCCAACCTCCCTGCTAGCCACTCGCCACACTTAACACAGCTCTCAGTGATTTCAGCTGCTAGTGGGGGAGCCTCACTGCTGGTGCACACTGGGCAGTCTCTTCCAATAGAGACACTGTCCCAAAATAAGTCTAATAGTTAGACCTAGATATCAGTGATTTCAGCTCTGCCACGTGTAACAAGACTCTCAATTGAGTCTAAATTAGCTCTTTTATTATACCATGGAGAGAGGAAGTGTCAAATGGTGTCTAGGACCCTTAAACAGGGCCCACCCCACCCTGTACACATTCCTATTCCCACCCTCTCACAACTCATTTGGCTTTGGAACCCACATCACCCGCCTAGCGAGTGCTGTTCAGTTGAGGGTGAGTCCCTCCATTGGGGTATGCCAGGTACAGTTCTGCTGCCCTCGGTTCACACGACAAGGATAGCAACTCTTTATTACTCCTGCCCCAATAACAAGATGACTGGGGTTCCAGCACCAGCCACAAGTGATCATTTGGGCAAGTAGTCCCATCATGCTGAGCACTTAGGCAGGGTGGGTGTGTCCATGCAAACGAGATCAGCTTCTGAAGTCTTTTTCCACAGCTCACCACTAGATGTCAGGGGAGAGTTCATCCAGACTCTGCTTACAGTAGTATACGTGAACCTTCCCAGGAGGTGGTACCTGGTTTTAATTCCTGGAGGAAATGTGGCAGACCTTCCCTATGGAGTAGAACAGAATCACACAAACTGTGTGTTTAATACAGTGCTGCCCAATGATGCCTTAATTTAATAAGGTCCCATATCTGGCAGTAAGTTTCCATATCTGCCATACTCAGATCCTTTGCAGATCAGCACAAAGCAGGACTTGTAACAAGCTCATCAGTGGGTTACACTTGTACTTACTAATATCTGTGCAGGGTGCAAATAAATTCCATTCAGACTTGGTAACTTTTTACACCCATGTTGCGCAGGGGTTAAGTCAAGACACCAGAGAGCCAGAATCAAAGTGTGTCTCACATCTGCAATGAACTTGTTCTGCTGGCAGAGTACATTCCTAAGTCAACTGGATTGCACAAATTCCCATTTATAACTTGCATTCTTTTTTAAACTAGGGGAGACTTATAGCTACATTTCCCTGGCATTGGATAGGAGTTATTGTTTCTAACTCCAGTTATCTGATCCTGTCAGAGCTTTACTAACTAGACAAAGTTCATTCCTATGTCTATTTACTGCATGAAGTTTCACCTTCATTATGTTTCTCTCTCAACTGTTACCCTAGATGCCTGCTGGTGCTCCAAAGGACTGTATAAATTCCTCTGGGACATACCTTGGGAGCTTTCTAGTGAAGGTTATGACTTAGCATCCATCACCTGCTAAAAACTGCATAAACACATGATATTACATTGCTTGTAAGGGATTCTTATTTCTGTGAGCCTAATAGATGATTCTTTATTTAGGCTCAGAATGAGACCAGTGGAGTACTGGATGAGGACAATTTATTGGATGCTGAAAGATGGCTTATAAACACTGATGACAATACTCTAAACCATGCAGGACTCTCATGGTAGACAGTCCATAAAATGTTTCTGGAGTAGAGTCCGTTGCTTGGCTCCTGTCAGCTGTGATTTTTATAGATGCCTCAGGTGTAAGTTGGGATGCCCAATTATACTGTCTCTAGGTTACAACAAGGGTTTCAAAATCCACAGAGACCTAGGATTAGAAACTTCTTGGAATCCTGAGCAATATGAATGGTAGGGAGAACTTTGTTTCCTTACATCCGTGACAAATCTGTACTGATTTTGACAGACCTCACCACAGCCATGTATCTCATGCACTAATAGGGGGAGCTCGTTTCTGTTGTTTGTGTCAAGAAACTGTCTAGCCTGAGGAAGTGGTGCATTCCATATCAAGTTGCACCTCTAGATCTGTTTTTTTTTTCCACGCAAGAACATGGTCTTGGCAGACAGCCTCATTTGGAATTTATCAGCCCCAGCATGAGGGGTTTTTCAAGTTTTTGACCATGTCAATATTCCAAACTACAGGGATCCTTCAAAAAGCTCTCTTTGTCTTGAAGGAGAATTCAGTGTGCCTTCAGTTTTTGTTCTGTAGGAAATAGTGATCCAAAATCCTTGAACAACTTTCTTCTAGCTTGTGGCCATACTCTGCTACCTTTATCCTTTTATGCTTCAGCAATGGTACTGATTGCAAGGGTTCTGTCCTTCGTGAACATGTCAGTATTCATATTTGGACCAATTACCCCTTCTGCTGAGGTCTGCCTTTCAGTTCTTCCACATCTGTTTTCACAGTATCAAAGGCAAATGCATTATCCAGGTCTGAGATTCCTAAATATCATGGCTTGCAATGTGCCGTGTTGCGAAATTCTGATCTGGAGTCCTCTCAAACTGTTAAGTGAATATTTCTGGAAAGTCATAAATCTTTGAGGAAAACCTATGCCTTGAAATGGAAAAGATTTTCAATTTGTGCTGCTGACCAAGACAGTGCACCTTCCACTGCTTCAGTGCCTTGCATTGTTCTCTGTTTCTAAGTGACCGATTTACTGAGGAGTTCAGTGTGGTTCATTTTGTGGAACTATCTGTAACTTGTGTTTGGAGGAGGTGAAATACTTGGTTTGGGATGGGCTGGTTATCTTATATAGGGATGATTTGTCTGTTTTCGATTAGTATTAGCACATAGGATTCCAGAGAGACGCTTTATAAGAGAATGATGACAAATATAATTGCCCAGCCAAGGATTATCCACATTTGCATGTTCTACAGTGAAACAGTTTCTGAAAGGACAGTTTGTATGTTTTTTCCACCCATTTGAGAAGAAACTCTCCTTGAAATTAAATTTGATGCTCATGGGATTTGGGATCACTGTAGGAGCCCTTTGGAAAATATTCTTTACATCACCTGTACGTACAGCATTGCTAGCATCTGTAACACCAAGGAGAATGGGTGAGATCTAAGCCCTGATGGCTGAATTCCCTCAAAATAAGGATAATGTGATACCATCCTTTACCTGATCTTGACTAAATTTGAGTTCCACTCCAATCTTATTTATTTACCTGGACTTTTTTCTGAACCATATAACTTACAGGGGAGATAAAGTTATGTAGGCTAGGTCAGTGTTTCTCAAAGTGTTGGGTATTCCCCCTTGGCATGGTGTGAAGGACAGTTGTGCTTGAGAGAAACATGAAAGATGCATACATTAAGCTTCAACAACACATGGCAGGGTTGTCAGGTGGACATGATTTATTTCATTTTCCTAAAGCAAGGCCCAGCTTTTGAAAGTTTGGGAAAACGCTACTCTAGATGTTAAAGAGCTCTTGGCTATGGCTTAGGTAGGACCAAATCCCTTTGTTAGTCTTCCATATTATTTGTGGCATATGGAGTTAAATCCAGGGGCAACCAAGCTCTGCCCAGAGATTGTTTCAGTGAATTAGAACCTGTATGCAGATCTGCTGTGAGCTACTATGTGTCCCAATACTTCGGGATCTAAAGTCATGCTCCCCTTGATCCAAAGCCCTTTGCCCAACATAGCTAAGAAAATATCTCCTTTGTGGACACTTCAGGCTGCTACCCTGAGATCAGTGCTTACATTTATAAAGCATTATTCTTGGCTTGTCAGCTAGATGGGATGGTCAATTTGGGATAGCAGTCCTATAATCTTCACTTTTCTTTAGACCTATATCCTTAAAGGCTGTGTGACTTCTAATTAATATCTCTTAAGCAGGGCTCTCTACAGACAGTTTTTGAAGGAGAAATAAGGGCTATTTGTAACTAGTTCCGTGAGATGTCAGCCTATATAGGTCCACATGCACCACTCAACTGTCCTGCTTCTTCAGAGCCTTCATATGGGGTTTTGAATAGGTGGGAGAAGGACTTTTGATGTGGTTGGGGACGCAGGGAACTTGGATTATGGTTTTTGTGTAACTCTATCCAAATGGTCAGTCCTGTGTGAGTGAGCAATAGTGCCAGTTGTCACTGCTTTTAGATGGTTTTGACTCTGTCTGCTGCAGGTACATGTGCCTACCACAAGAGTAGCTTTACAGTATACTGGTGGTCAACTTGATGAACTACAGATGCGGGTTAAGTGGACTTTTTATTTTTTCATTCCGACTCCACAATTTAAAAAATAATCACATTAATTTTCATATTAAATCTTTTGTTTAAAGACAGACCAAGTGAGTGCTGTGCTAGGCCTTGCATGTCATTTTCATCTGACTATTTTTATAATTGGGCTGTCAATCCCTGAAAACGAAAATGCTGTTTGATAGAAATGTTGGCCAACAGTTACCCATACTGTAGCTGCATGAATGGTGGACCCCTAAGAGATAGTGACTGTGCACACTCTCTCCAATCTAAACTATTATTTTGAATCTCTAATTCACCATTTTCTTAATCTACACACCCCATAATTCACATGTCAAAACACAGTGGTCTCATTCCATTTCTCAGTAATGGTTTAAATACAGAGACAGTGCTGTATTAAGGTCTAACTTTACTAATACTTCATTACTTTTACAAACTAAACTACAGAGCATATGCTATGAGCTGTTATCATAACTGAACAGCGCTTGTCAGATGATTGCATCATGTTTGTTACTGATAAACATATGCTGTATTTAGACTTTTTTAAGCTAGTCACTCATCTTGCAACTTGTAGAATCATTTTGTTTATATCATAATGATGTTTGTGACTCTGCTTTACGTTCAATATAAAAAGTTGTATTCTTTTCCCCTAAAGTCTTTCTTCAGTATCTTATGTGTTTTATTATATGTCCACAGAACAGGTTTGTTTACTCCAGACATGGCCTTTGAGGCTATAGTTAAAAAACAGATAGTGAAGCTGAAAGGGCCTTGCTTAAAAAGCGTGGATCTGGTGATGCAAGAGTTAATCAACACTGTCAAGAAATGCACTAAAAAGGTAACTTCTGAATGGATTCACTAATCGTTGAAGTACACTTGTCAATCCAGTGTTATGGTAGATAATATAATGGGCAAGATGCTTTGCCATGTGGCTCTGCTCAGAAAAATGATGCAATTATATGAGATGGTATGGTTCTACATTTGTGTCTTACTTGCTTTCTTATCCAGTTTACAAATAAAAAGTACTATAATACTGATCTTAGGTTCTGATGCTCAAAATGGCTTGTTTCTAGATCTTGCATCATCGCCAGCATGGTTTGTTTTTTCAGGGGAAAAAAACCCAGTCAATTACTGCCCCATTTTCACCTGTATAACCATATTGCTGCAGTTGGTGTTGCATGGCTGTTACTGAAGGCCTAATATAGAGAAAATGAGATCATCTAGATGGCCCTGCAAATGAAACTTAATTAACATTTCTGTTGAGGCATAAGCCAGAAAAATCCAGAATCGGAAGTTGTCTTTGTAGCACTGACAATAGGAAAAAGTAGTTGTCTTTCTTTTATCACTAAAGACAGCAGACTAGATTCCAAATATATTCAGAGAGCAGTTCTGCTGAGTAAAAAGGTGCATTTTTACATAGAAACTTTTCAGAGTACAGTTGTACTTAAGTGTCCAAATAATGGTGAAATACCCTCCTGTGCTGTTTCTCATATATGCAAATCCAGAACTCATCATCACCAACTTTCGAGAGGCTACATGATAGAAACATGAGAAGATCCAATCTCCCCTTGATTTGCCCACACTTACCCCACTGGGAGTTATGCATGTGGGTGGAAGGATGAACTAGTCTGAAGAACTGCAGAATGAATGTAGGAAACAAATTGCATTGGAAAGAACAGTTGTGCAGTTGACTTCCCTAAAGTGAATAGTGTGTGTACTAAATAATGAAACCTTAATTTAAGGTTCCGACAAGTATAGTAAAATAATGAGCTAGTAGATATGAATGAGTATTCTGGCCGATTGGTATGCATACAGTGTGTACCCGGGTTTATTTATACTTTTTTTTTTTTAAAGAAAACCTTATTTTCCTATTGTGACTAAAAAGTTCAGGTTTTAGTATGGAACTGAATTCAATATAGAAATCAGAAGTCAGTTGTATATGCCTTGGTTAAAGGGGATAACATTTTCAAGTGTCAGTCTGATTTTCAAAAGTGGCTTAGCCTCCTAAGTGCCTTAATCACTTGAAAACTACCTATGGTCAAAAGTGGATCCCCAGTGACCACCATTAACTGTGGCTGAAAATGGCTTAGGCCCCAGATAGGGCCAAAATGCTTTTAATAACAATGATAGAAAGCATGTCAGAGTCCCAGTGGCGGGGTAGTCATCTGTCCTCACGTCTTAATCTTGGGAACATCGGAATTTTTGTACTGGATCAGACCAATGGTCCATCTCATCTAGTAGCTCGCCAGTACCAGATACTTTAGTTTCTTCCTAGTTCCCACAGAGTTGGTGATTGATTTTTGCCTCTGAAATACTCGTGTTTATATTCCTTATAATTTGTTACCCAATCTAATATAACTCATAAACATCTTATCCTTGTTAATCCTAAACTCTTAACCTCAATGTCCTGTGCCAGAACAATTATGTGTGTAAATGTTTCCTTTTAATCAGTTTTAAACGTGTTGTCTTTTTCATATCCTCTTCTATACAATGAGAAGAGGGTAAATGGGAACTCTTAGTTTATTTTCCATGTCATTCACTATGTTCTATACCTTTGCTATGCCCTCTCTTATCAGTCCCCTCATTAAACTATCGCTCCAGTTTTTCAGAAGCAACTCAAGCACCTTAGGAGAAAATTTTTATCCATTCACTTTTTCTGCAGTGTCCCAGAGTCATTCTTGTACTGTACTTCTGAAAACAAAAAAAAATCCCTTAGTTCAATGTACTCATGTCATTTAGGTCATTGATTCAGCTTGTGACAATGTGGAACTGCCTTATCAAGGTAGAGTATCTTACTCTTGTCACCTGAATAATTGTTTCTTTGGTGTTTTAGAATGGTGGTTTTTCCTTATCCATTAAATGCAAGAGCTGACACAGTTGCTGAATTGTTGGAACTGCAGGCCCCCTCCAAATCACATCACAGTAGATGTCTAGCTTCAATGATGCCTGGATCTTTTTCTAAGCAGTTATGGTTTAGATCCAGCCAAGTGTGGGGGCTGTAAAGTGTTCTTTCCAATGTACATCACCTTACATTTCTTTTCCATGAATGTGATCTACAATAGGGTTGCCCAATCATCTAGGTTGGCTAGGACTTTCTGTTTGGGGAGACAACATTGGTGAAGTAATGTCTTTTATTGGACCAACAACAACGCTGCAAATATCAATTCTTTGATCAGCAGGGAAGGAAATACAGGAGATGTGGGCTCATGCTCACTCCATTCTTAAGTGAAAGATGGCGTCTCAAGTATTTAGTCCAAGGAATGCAGCTTAGTATTACTCCCACTCTAGCCCATTTTAAAAAAAACGGTGTCAGAATGAAGAGACAAAAAATTGATGTAGAGCATTACTGTTGCCAGTTATTGCACCTTAGAGGTCGAAAGAATTATAGAACATGGCCTAAGTGCTCTCTCTCACCTCCTGTACGATGACAAGGCAGAATCAAGATTTTGGGGAGCATGAAAATGGCAGGCTTTGCTGCTTGTGATGCATGAATAAGATTTGTTGTTATACTCACACTCAACTCAGAGCATCAGGATTCCAACAGTAGGTTCAGAAAAAGTTCTTGGGTGGAATTTTCAGAAGTGCCCAAGTGACTTAAGAGTGCAAATCCCATTGAAAATTATTGGGATGCATGCTCCTAAATCACCTAAGCTCCTAAATCACCTTCTGAAAATCCCACCCCGGTGATTGGGATTTCTTTGACTAAAGTTGAAGAAAAACAGTTTTCCTTAAATCCATTAGGGCAATTTTTCAGTTTTTCACTCCTCTCAAGGCTCAGAGGAAGTTCCACTTGGGAAGACATCCACTCAAGTAAAACAATAACACTGGTTACCTTGTTTGAAGCTATGATTTGCAGTGCATGGTCTATGAGTACCACCTTGAGACTCAGCAGGTGCCACATGGTGGAGCCTTCTAGGAATCTGAAACTTTGGAATAATTTATAGGAGCACATACTAAAGCCATGAGTAGAGAGAATATTCAGCTGCAGGAGAAAGAGGAGAACTGAAGCGTCCTCTTCCCACCTGCTGGAAGGAGCAGTTTGGCAGGAGGACGTGGGCATGCCTGAGGTAGCCTGTGTGTTCCGTTTCTTTTGAGTAAGCACACGCATAGCTTAATGGAAACATCAGTCTGTATATTAGTATATAGGAACTGCATACAAATAACTTGCCCTCTTTCTAGTCTTCTGTTGAATTATGACATGTAAATGAAGGGTAAAATCCTTATTGCTTATCTGCATGAGAGATCATGATTGTTATTCCTGTGAATGTGCACACAGTTCTCATTGATTTTGCTCGGAGAGTACCTCATCTCTAAACAGATCTGTTCCTGTGGATCTATGAGAGAAGTTTTGTGCCAGATGATTCCATACTTTTGGGCATAGGTGCCAACTCCCCTCTTTGTGGTGGATGCTCAACCAACCCCCACTCCACCTCTTCCCTGCCCCCATTCCAACCCCTTCCCCAAAGTCCCCGGTCCCGCCTCCTCCCCCTGAGTGTGCCATGTTCCTGCTCCTCCCCCGCCCCCAGAGCATGCTAATGCTGCCAAACAGCTGTTTGGCAGCGGACTGGTGGGAAGCGCTGGGAGGTAGGCGGAAGACCGGGGACTCGGTGCGCTCAGGGGGAAGGAGGAGGTGGTGCAGGGAGGGGAGCCAGCCCTGGAGCACCCACAGAGTCGGCGCCTATGCTCTTGGGTAGCACGTGCCCCATTGGCATCCAAGTTGGAACCCTCTAGAGACCTTGCTTTGGTGGATCTGAATGTTTGGAGATGGGGTATAAAGAAACCATGGACTTGATTCTTTTCAGTTCTTCACTGATTACTGCAGCTTTGAGCTTGGAAATCCTGGGACCTCTTTTCCTTTCTTGCAGTACCACTGGTTTAATTTGTTTTTAATCATTAGTAGTTAGCCTCGATGATTATAGTATTTTAGCTTTTAAAAAAACACTGCTTTTTTGAGAGAGAGAGAGCGTTATAACAGTTGTCTAGTCAGTGTTAGGGTCTGCACTGGTGGTGTGGTTTTGGCAGGTACCATCTGGTTCCTTGGGTCTGGTAATCTGTTTCATTCAGTTTAGTTCCGATGGATTTGAAGCAGTGGGGACTTAAATGGATGTTCTGCTTTTTAAGAATTTTTTTTTAGCTCAACAGATTTATTTTCTTCTGTCTCTAAGTGAAGGATATTCTCTAAAGGATTTTCAATTTGTGTGGCCTTTACTGCTTAAGTCTGCACAGAGTGAGAGATCTGCCTAACATAGCTTTTATTAGAGGAAGTCTTTTAGGTTCTCCCCCTCACCCAAAGAGCCAGCTCCTGTTTTAGATTAGGGTTAGCCAAGTCAATGTGCAAATGCAATTTCTGGTGTCCATAGCACTAAAACAGCAACTGGTGACCCCTTCTGAAATCCATGAATGTAATCATTCACCCGTTCGTGGATCAGACAGTGAAGGAAATGTGTGCTCAATCTTATGTTTCTTTTAGTGAAAAGATGGCATAACAGCACACAAGAACCTGACTGCAGAAATGCAAGAGTGTTTTATCAGCTTTTTCATATCTCTTGTCAGAGAATCAGGGTGAGGTTCTTCACCACCATCTGAAATCTTTGCTGGCCTAAAGATTTTGGCTAATTGTTTTGGCTGATAGTTTGCAAGATTCTTTAACACATCATTCTGGAAAATCATAGATATCTTTGATAATGACCTAACCAGAAAAAAGCAAAGATTTTCACTGTGAACTTGCAGCAAGATTACTGTTCTTTTGTTCCCTTCATTTTGGCCCATTTGGAACAGATAGAGACACATGTAATCAAACTGATGATGATGGAGTCTCCTATTTAGTTTGATGGATGAGTAACAGTCATTTATTGTTGGTCTTGAGATGAGATCAGTGATCAATATTTGACCTACAGTCCTGTCCGCAAGTGCCACAGGTGAAAACACTTGAAGATGAATGTGCACTGCTTTTAGCTTTACATCTTGTACGTCTCTCCTTGGTTGCAGCAGTCCGCGAGCTCTTGAAGGTCCAAGGTGGGAGAGCTGCTGTCATTGGGTCCTATTGTGGGTTAAGAGCTCTCAGGTATTTGAGGTGCTCATTGCAAGATTGGAGGGTGGCTTTCAGGGGGTCATTTGACATAGATTTGGATTAAGTGAATAGGAGTTGATGGTTTCAAGCTGCAGTTCCATATATGCTCTCATTCCAAACATTCAGTTCTGCAAAGAAGCATACACTGAAAATGGCCACTACTTTCTTGAGCATTCCATGAAGCAAATGGGCATGCAAGTTCCCAGAGTACGGATCTGTGCATATTGTATTGAACTACCCTTACTGGTAAGTATGCTTCATAGGGCCTTGTTAACTTCAGTACTAGTGTTTACAAAATTTACTTCTATTCAGGGACTAGTGTAGATTCTCCATTTGTACCCTTTTAACATCACTCATCAAGTTTAAATTCCTCCCCATTTTGCCTTACAGCTGGCGACCTATCCAAGGCTATGTGAGGAAACGGAAAGGATTGTTGCTGGCCACATTCGAGACAGAGAGGAGAAGACCAAGGAACAGGTGGGAATAAACATGAAATCTGGTGGGTCGGGAATTGAGAGTGATGAAGGACCTGCACCATTTTTGAAAAGCCTTAACCATGGTAAATTGCTTGTGTCGAAAGTGTAACAGACATTGACATATTAGATGTTGGAGAGGTAGAGAATGGAGAGAGGTTCTAGAGAAGGGAGGGAAGGAGACCAGTGCTGTTCCAAAGGCTCCTAATTTAGTCTGCCAGTCGCAGATGGGAGCAGAAAATGTAGATGACCTGCTGAACTGGAGTAATAGCTCCTCTTCTAATCCCACTTGCAGACAGTGGATGGGGCATGGCCAAGGAAAAGGGACAATCCGTTGCAACCATAATAGCCCTCTGGGGCTACTGGCAGCTGACCTAATTTATAACAGCCCTCTGGCTTCTCATGGAGCCTTGAGGAGCCTCGGACCCTATGGAGCTTGAGAGCGGTGCATGGTATCCTGTTCCCTTCCTCTCAGTCAATATTATAGATGTTTACTCCAAGTCTTAATCACACAAGTTATTGATCTTGTGCCTTGGGGAAGCTTTTAATCAACGCAACCAAGTTTTCCAAACTTCGGAAGAAAAGGATACAGGTAACTTGGAATAACTGCTCCCTTTTTTCTTTCCTTGTTTCCGTCCTCTCACGTGCTCAGAGATGAGCACAAAATATCAGCTTCCTATGTATGTGAATTTAGAGAACTTCTAACTTCTTTTTGTTCAAATTGTACACAAATCTGAGAGAGTCCAGGCACAGACAATGTTAAAATTAGTGACTGTGATACATGTACCTATCATTTACTTACACTGTTAACAATTACTGTATTAAAATCGGTCAGGCTACTGGGGAGACGTTCAGAAGGCCCAAGCCAGAGCCACTCAACTCCCATTGACTTTCAGTAGAAGTGGGGCTCCCTTCTGCCTTTTGAAAATCTCCCCCTTGAGGAATAAAAATAAAATATCTTTGTGGCGTACAGTGTTCTGGAAGCTCTGCAGTGGCAATTGTACTCATTTTTGGTGAAATGAAAGGGGTTTAAAAATAATATTGGACTTCATGAGAAAAACCAATTACACAAGAAAAGGAGCAAAATTGTGTAGTCTAGTGGTATAGGACTTGGTGAAGAGGACTGATTGATGCAATGGCCAGGCACAGTAAGGCATTCAGTAGTTAAGGCTTTACTTAGAAGTAACTATTTTTTCCATCGTGGTTTTTGTTGGATACAGAGAGACTGGTATCCTAGTAGGAAGGTCACGTTATATTATTTTATCAAATGAAAACTCTTATTAGTTTTTATTCTTTTTTTTTTTTAATAGTTGGGGCCTATGCATCAAAATATTCTTATCCACTGTGTTCTGGCAATAATAAATTGTTGCCCCGAGGCATAGACTTGGACAGGTTTTGATAATTATGTGGTTTTACACACTTCGGGGATGTCTACGCTGCAGTTAAACACCAGTGGCTAGCCCGTGCCCTCAACTTGTGAGGCTTTTGCTAGGGGAGGAGAGCCATGCAAAAAACCGTTTCCCCTTCTTTGCATGGTTGAGCAAGGGCCTTCTATTGTAGCAGTCCCTGCATTCCTCAGAGCACAGGGATGGTTCACTCTTGATCTCTGCTGGGGAGCAAGCATCTGAAAAGATGGCAGGAGGAAAACGGGGTCATGGTCCCTCTGCACTGTCCTGGTACACACTTTAGGAAGGCTGCGGGGGCGAGGTGGGTGTCTTTGTGTATTTTAAGATATTTCCAGGTTAATTAGATCATGACGTTTCAGTCCAATTATCCGAAACACCAAGAAATCAACAGATCAAGGCTACTCAAGCAGCAAGCTGAAACCTCTGTTTTGCTAAACTGTTCATTTTGTTACTTCATCCACCAGCCCACCCCTGTTGTCTGTTTCGTCCACCTGTTTTATCCTGTCCAACACATCAACTGTAAGTTCACTGGGCAGACTTGTTACATGTTTGTACAGTGCCTAACACTATAGAGCCCTAATTCATCATAGAGGTTCCTGACTAGCCTGGTGTAGTAATAGTAGCAATAAGAGACCAAATATTGCCTGTCCTGCAAAATGTAGTGCTAGAATCTGTGCTATATATTAAACTCCCCTTTGGTTAGGTATGGTTAGTCTTAATTAAATTTTACAGAAGCTGATAATGAGGCAACTATAAGAAAGCTGAGGGAGGTAGTTGACTGATAGTTCCATTATAGCCTAGTTTTCTAAATAAGCAAAGAAATGGATATGGGATATAGGAGGTAGTACTGCTTTTGGCCTGAATGATTATAAAAGACAATATTCAACAATGCAGCAAACTCAAATTTTCTTTTTCCTTTTTTCTTCCTGGTAGGTACTGCTGCTAATTGATATCCAGGTATCTTACATCAATACCAACCATGAAGACTTCATTGGCTTTGCAAAGTATGTATACAGAGACTTTATTATACAGATCCACTGTTAATTTCCCCTTCTTACTGATTTAAGGAAAAAATAGCCTGAAACATTTAGAATGGTAGAGATGCCTCCTGCCAACCTTGACACATGAAAATAGTGTGTAATGCAGTTCACTCTTCACTGCTGGGCACCTCCTGGTGGTTCATCTGGGGATTAGCTCTCAACCAGTCTGACGTCCCATTGATGTCTTCAGTTGCTCACCCTGTGGTGGGTGTCTCTCTCTCTCTCTCTCTCTCTCTCTCTGGACTCAGGTTACTTCCTCTTCGTGACTCAGGGTGCTCCCTCTTCGTGGCTTGGCCCTTTGGCCAGGTCACTATAGTTCTTCTTCTGTGGTATCAAAGTGCCAGTGGATGAACCATCTCAGACAGTCTTCCAGTCCACTGCCCCAACTGTGCCACTTCCCCAGTGGCTGGCAGTGGAACTCAGGCCCACCCACTGCTCCAGGTTCCAGCCCACGGACCCTACACGCAGCAACTGCAGTCTGTGCAAGCTCCAACCCTGTTGCTCTTTCCCCAGGCTCTTTCCTACCTCTCTTCTGTCTTCTGCCCCCGCCCCTTTTGGGTTACCACTGGAGCTTCCTCTGCTCCGTGTGGCAATTTCACCCCTCCCCAGGTTCTTGCCAGCGTCTTTATTCTCAGGCAGGATCCCCGGGCGTACTTCTCCTGGGATTCCTCCTTGTCGTTTGCTAACTGCCATCATCTCTAGGGAGTTGTGCCCAGTTCTTTCCTGCTGCCCGTTCTTGCTCTCTACTTCCTGGTTTTATACAGCTCAGCCTGCCCCTGCCCTGCTGGGCTTCATCTCCTTCATCTCTTCAGCTCAACTGGCCCTGACTCTCCTCCAGGGGCAACCTGCCATGGGGTTAATTGGCCCTTTTTTCCTACTCAGGCCTAGTGTGGTGTGGACACCCCACTACATAGAGGCTCACCCTCAGAACACTTAATACCTGACTGTGCCCCTTACTGTAGGTCTAGACTGGATTATCTTGCTTTGTCCTACCTAGCCTGATTTCAGGGCTCACTGGAAATGCATCTCTTGACCTGAAACTTTGTCTCTCACTTCTTATAGAATTATAGAAATATAGGGCTGGAAGGAACCTTGAGAGGTCTCAAATCCAGCCCAGTTTAGCCTCTTGACCTGGAACTGTGTGTCTCTGGAGACAGCTTTTGATGCACAGATGCCTTTGGTGCAGCCGTTACTGGCAGCATTGGTACACAGTTGCCAATACAGATTTTAGCAGCATTGATTTAGTACTCACTGCACTGCCTGCTTAGGATGACAATGATACTGCTGAAAATGAGCAGGACTGCTGTTTGGATACAGAGGATAATAGTAGCAGAAGCCAAGAACTTATCTCCGAGGGAAGAGAAGAAAGATAATTCTCTCCAGTATGGGCTGACCCTTTTTCCCGTTTAATTGAAAAGATTGTTAAGATTTCTTCTTTTGATGTGCAGACAATCCAGGAAAACCCCAAGGCTGTGATTTTGACGTGTCTGGCCTCATTCACAGATGATATAGAAAGTGCCCCTCTTCCATCCTAGGCTCGACCAGTTGGTGAGGTTTGGCTGCAGCTTCATGCCACTCTGGATGTCTCCAGGATGGTTATTGGAAAATGGAGGGATATCCTCAGCTTATTTCTCCTTCCCTCTCCAAAAGATTATGGTGGTGGTGGAGGCAGCTGCAATCATGATGGTGCCATAGCATGACTCCAGAGGTTACGATGCCCTTGGACCCAGATTTTTTCAATCTGTGATATTGTCAGCTCACTTTGGGAACAACAGTACATGTTCTATATGGGAAAACACCAGTTCAAGCTGTGGAAGAAGGTTTGCACCATCTACCTCCCACCTCCAAGGGTGTGGAGCAAAGAGTTTGTAAGAAATTGACTTGAGGGAGTAGAAAAAGACAGGGTGTGGCTATCCTGGAGCTGCAGCTAGCGAGAGATGTCAAGAGTAACAAGAAGGGTTTCTTCAGGTATGTTGGCAACAAGAAGAAAGCCAAGGAAAGTGTGGGCCCCTTAATGAATGAGGGAGGCAACCTAGTGACAGAGGATGTGGAAAAAGCTAATGTACTCAATGCTTTTTTTGCCTCTGTCTTCACTAACAAGGTCAGCTCCCAGACTGCTGTGCTGGGCATCACAACATGGGGAATAGATGGCCAGCCCTCTGTGGAGAAAGAGGTGGTTAGGGACTATTTAGAAAAGCTGGACGTGCACAAGTCCATGGGGCCAGACGAGTTGCATCCGAGAGTGCTAAAGGAATTGGCGGCTGTGATTGCAGAGCCATTGGCCATTACCTTTGAAAACTCGTGGCGAACGGAGGAAGTCCTGGATGACTGGAAAAAGGCTAATGTAGTGCCAATCTTTAAAAAAGGGAAGAAGGAGGATCCTGGGAACTACAGGCCAGTCAGCCTCACCTCAGTCCCTGGAAAAATCATGGAGCAGGTCCTCAAGGAATCAATCCTGAAGCACTTACATGAGAGGAAAGTGATCAGGAACAGTCAGCATGGTTTCACCAAGGGAAGGTCATGCCTGACTAATCTAATCGCCTTCTATGATGAGATTACTGGTTCTGTGGATGAAGGGAAAGCAGTGGATGTATTGTTTCTTGACTTTAGCAAAACTTTTGACACAGTCTCCCACAGTATTCTTGTCAGCAAGTTAAAGTAGTATGGGCTGGATGAATACACTATAAGGTGGGTAGAAAGTTGGCTAGATTGTCGGGCTCAACGGGTAGTGATCAATGGCTCCATCTCTAGTTGGCAGCCGGTGTCAAGTGGAGTGCCCCAAGGGTCGTTCCTGGGGCCGGTTTTGTTCAATATCTTCATAAATGATCTGGAGGATGGTGTGGATTGCACTCTCAGCAAATTTGCGGATGATACTAAACTGGGAGGAGTGGTAGATACGCTGGAGGGCAGGGATAGGATACAGAGGGACCTAGACAAATTGGAGGATTGGGCCAAAAGAAATCTGATGAGGTTCAATAAGGATAAGTGCAGGGTCCTGCACTTAGGATGGAAGAACCCAATGCAGAGCTACAGACTAGGGACCGAATGGCTAGGCAGCAGTTCTGTGGAAAAGGACCTAGGGGTGACAGTGGACGAGAAGCTGGATATGAGTCAGCAGTGTGCCCTTGTTGCCAAGAAGGCCAATGGCATTTTGGGATGTATAAGTAGGGGCATAGCGAGCAGATCGAGGGACGTGATCGTCCCCCTCTATTCGACATTGGTGAGGCCTCATCTGGAGTACTGTGTCCAGTTTTGGGCCCCACGCTACAAGAAGGATGTGGATAAATTGGAGAGAGTCCAGCGAAGGGCAACAAAAATGATTAGGGGTCTGGAACACATGACTTCTGAGGAGAGGCTGAGGGAACTGGGATTGTTTAGCCTGCAGAAGAGAAGAATGAGGGGGGATTTGATAGCTGCTTTCAACTACCTGAGAGGTGGTTCCAGAGAGGATGGTTCTAGACTATTCTCAGTGGTAGAAGAGGATAGGACAAAGAGAAATGGTCTCAAGTTGCAGTGGGGGAGGTTTAGGTTGGATATTAGGAAAAACTTTTTCACTAGGAGGGTGGTGAAACACTGGAATGCGTTACCTAGGGAGGTGGTAGAATCTCCTTCCTTAGAAGTTTTTAAGGTCAGGCTTGACAAATCCCTGGCTGGGATGATTTAGTTGGGGATTGGTCCTGCTTTGAGCATGGGGTTGGACTAGATGACCTCCTGAGGTCCCTTCCAACCCTGATATTCTATGATTCTATGATCCTTTGGTGATAGTGCCACTGATGCTTGCAGACACATTGTTGCATTTAGGCTTTGTATGATGGTTTCGCCAGTAGTTTCAGGACCATGAAACTTTGAAGATGGGGTGGAAAATGGATGATAGTCTTATTAAAGCTGAGGTAATTAAATCTGTCCTTCATTCTCTCAGGTTATCCTCCCCTCCTCCTCCTTTTATCTTCTAGGGAAAGCACCTGCCAAGAAACCAGCACATACATATGCTCTGGATTCTGTGGTGCCCAGTGCTTGCAAAGTCAGTTCACTCTGCCTTCCTTCTGGAAGAAAACTCTAGGTTTCTGAATTCTGGAGTGACTAACCAGCCTGACTTGTACTCTCTTACTATTAGAGAGAGACTAGGGTCAATTTCTTATGCAAGACCATTCTTGGACACATACGTCTCAGAATTACAAATTTCTCCCTTCCAGAATGTGCTGTAATTCAGCATCCCGAAGAGAAGATACAGTAAATCTAATCCCTTCTGACAAAAGGATGCCATTGAGCCTGTGCTATTGGTCAAAAGAAAGGGAGGATTTGAGGCTGTCCTGAATGTTAGACTTCCATTGGTAACTGGTTAAAGGGAAAATTCAGAATTGGATTTTGGAGAACAATTGTACCTCTCCTAGAGGAAAGGGATTGCTATGAGCTACAGTTGGTGGTACTGACTGTGTATTTACAGTGATAGGACTGTGGTTTTTTTTTCTCTTTCTGGTTAGCAATCTGGAAGGGATATAAGAAGCAGTGCCTCTCTATTGGTATGCTGGTGCCACTAGGGCTTAAGATAAACTAATCAATATCCTAGCTTGTTCCCAGAAACCAGTTGGAGAGTACAAGGACCTTACGTGACTCAACACAACTCAAAGCCTTCTTGCTCTGGAATAGGGTCCAGGTCATAAGGGAAAGGATTTTCAGTGTCAGCTGGATCAGCAAGAGCCATGCGGGGGGAGGGATAGCTCAGTGGTTTGAGTGTTGGCCTGCTGAACCCAGGGTTGTGAGTTCAATCCTTGAGGGGGCCATTTAGGGATCTGGGGCAAAAATTGGGGATTGGTCCTGCTTTGAGCAGGAGGTTGGACTAGATGACCTCCTGAGGTCCCTTCCAACCCTGATATTCTATGATTCTATGCAGCAAAAGATTGGCCTGATAGATACAATGGTTATATGTCAATGAAGTCTTGATTTCAAATTTTCTCCATTGCAAA